TTTGGGGCCAGCAAGTGGCATGGTGGTTGGGGGCACTGGACTCCCACATGGCTGACCATGGTTTGAGTCCTGGACCTGGCAGCTTGCTTTCTCACTTTCCCTCTCTCTCTGTGTCTCGCTCTGTCCCATTCTGGTCAAATTAAAATAAATAAATAAATAAATAAAAGTTAAATAACATAATTCTTAAAAAAAATAGAATTATTTATTTAATTCTCATTTATTATCCTTATTTTTTTAATTTGACCAGAGACAAAGAGAGAGAGGGACGTGAGAAAGCAAGTTGCCAGATCAAGGACTTGAACCACAGTTCATCATGTGAGAGTCCAGCACCTTAAGCGCCATACCACCTGCTGGCCCCAAAATAATAGTTTTAATTTTTCACTTCTTTTTAAAAATTTCTGACCTCCCAAACAAATGAAAATGTGGACAAGTTCCTCTTTACAGTTACAAATACTAATGGATTATGGGAATAGTCATGACACATTTTTGCATAGAAAAATATTTAAAAATATGTCATAACTTTTCTGACAATCCAATTTATTTTTTACGAGAGATTTTTTTTGCTATAGGGCACATGCATTCACCAGAGAGAGAGACAGACAGACAGACAGACAGTGAGACAGGGTGTAAGAAACACTCCTCGCCCGGGGGTGGGGGGGTGTGTGGCCACACAGCAATCTCTTTTCCTCCGTTTTCCTCTTGGGATCTTGGGCAGGCACGCACACATGCCTGGTGTGAGTTTTAAGTCACAGAGTCTGGTACTTGAACTATATGATCGACCACGTGGGAGTCCAGCGACCTAACCATTACACCATCAGCTGGTCTCGTCCCAATATTTTAACATACAACAGCTATCGCTTTAATGTCTAAGGGCAAGTAGGTTGGCTCTGTGGTCTAGTGGTTAAGGCAGCCAGATCCTACATTGCCAACCATGGTTCAAATCCCAGAACTAGCAGCTTGAAAAGCATCCTAGGTACATGCATGCATTCCAAATCCTGACAGGATGGAGAAAAGGAGAAGAGACTGTGTCATTGCCATATCCCATTGGGAAGTGCTTTCCCTCTCTCCCCCTCCCTTTCGCTCACTCTGGCACACTCACGTGCCCTCAGGCAATTGGAAAAAAATGTCTAAAGGTATGGTGAACTGAAGTAGCCTAATGACAATGTGTACTGCAATCATAGTGTTGCTCTGGCAATTTTCACAGGAACTAGACATAATACACCTATCTGGTAAGAGTCTGCTATCTACCTAATTTGTACTAGTAAATTGGACCATCACACTGACCAATTTTTCTTTTTTTTTTTTGTTTCACTTTGCTTGAGGGTGCATGTGCTCACCAAAGAGATAAAGAGACAGAGAGAGGGAAGGTAGAAAGCATTCCCCCCAAAAAAAGAAATGGTAGTACTGTAATCCTTTCTCCTCCATCTCTGCCTCCTTTCAGATCCAGAACTCCAATTGCATGGTTGGGTTATGAGGGGATGTGATACATGTATGTCTTAACCATCAGGCCATGGGGTCAGTCCTCGTACTGACTGATTTTAATGTGCTTTTAAAAAGCTATGACTGCATGCTGATAAGCTGTTCCATGTTAAAACAATAAACCACCTATCCAAAACAATCCTGATACCATCTCCCTCCCCCCAGCTTCTTCAAACACATCTAATCCAGCATAATTGGCTTAAATATAGTTATCAGAATTTTATCAAAATGTATACATAATATCTACTACCTGAAACTTAGATAAATACAATCTGTGATATTCTACTTTAAGGAGATAATTCTAATCTCTTTCCCATCTAATCTTTTTTTTTTTAAGAGAGATTTTTGCTGCAAGGCGTGTGTCCACTAAAGAGACAGAGACAGAGACAGAAAGTGAGAAATCACTCCCCAGGGGGAATGGCCACATCACAGTACAGGCCCTTTTCCCCTAATCGCCTCTTGGGATTTTGCGCACGCACACACACATGCCCAGCCTGAGTTTCAAGTTGTTGGGTCTGGGTCTTGAACTGCAGTAGACTATGTCGGAGTCCAGCGATATAACCGCTATGCCATCTGCTAGTCCCATCATTCAGTCTTTTAACAAAACTTCTACAAAATATTCTACCTAGTTGTTTGGATTTTAACCTCATTAGCAATTCTTATAAGTAAAATTTGAAGTGAAAACCTTGGCGGGAAGGAGGCTGGCCTGTAGGGTGAGGGCCGTGGTGGGAACATAAAAGTAATGCTCTAGTCCGGACTTCTCCAGCTTGCTGAGTGTCACCAATGAAGCACTGAACCTTGCTAAAATACTTCCCTGACAGACCATGAGTGGTGGTGTCTCATAAATCTTGAAAAGTCAAAATGTCATGTAATCGTTTTTCACATCCAACATTAACTGTCTTAGTTTTGCTGACAGGGATGCTTTCTAGTGTAATAAATCATTCACTGAAGAAAGTTTTGAAAATAAAAAAGGAAAGAAAACTCCAAAAGTAGTAGAACAAAGGTCCATTGACAATATCAAAACAGGGGGGGCAAGGACGACACTACGAATGGAGTATCTGAATAGAGGCTGCAAAGGAAATATTTGGGGGCAGTAGTGATACCATTGTAAAGAATATAAAAATGAAATTTAAACATTTGTAAGAGCTTGCTTTAAATTTATGCAAAAATAAACATCATTGTCTATAGTGTTCATGGGTATGGGTAAAATTAGGAGAGCTATCCTGTTATAAAGCAACTCTTAGTAGAAAAACATCCTTTGTTTGCCACATTCTGGAACTTCCTCTCCCTCTCCATTCTTGAAGGGCTAGACCTGAGGGGAAAAAATCCTGAAAGAGAACAGCACACTTCATGGTAAGGTGCGTGACAGCCATCTCTTGGTCTGTAGGGTCCCGAAATTCAGCTCCATTTCACATTCAGAGAGCCTCAACATGGCCCAGTCCAGATATTCACCTCTTTAATATTTTTCAGCCTAGAGAGGGATGCATTGCTCTCATCAGCCAAAAGAATTTCCTTCTTAAAAAATTCTCACAAAGACCAAAAGTGGTCCTAGGTACCACAAAATAATGCCTGAGACATCTATTGGTGTCATTATAATCGCTATCATATGTGTTATTTGTTTTCAGTTCCCTTTTCTTTTACTATCCTTTGCTATTTCCCTCTACCCATCCTCTAGGCCTGCACCGATTCTGTTTGTCTGCAGATGGTGGCACTCAGAATTGGGTTTGCGGACTCCAATTAATGACAACAGCAGGATGTGTGTAGCTACATATAGCTTACCACTAAAACTGTGCTGGGCATTTTGATAAATGTTTTACAAATATGATCCACACAAAATCCCATGACATAGGAAGTATTTTATCTCTCTCTCTTTTTTTTTTTTGAGGGAAAGATACTTTTGCTACAGAGTGCATGAACTTACCAGAGAAAGACAGAGAGACAGAAAGCAAGAAATCAACCCCCCTCCCCCGGGGATGGACACACCCCAATTTCTTCTCCTCCATTCTCTTGTCAGGATTTTAGGCAAGCACACACAAGCACCCAAACTTACACGCATTAAGTTTCAAACCACAGGGTCTGGTACTCAAACCATAGTTAACTATTTTCAAGCCTAGTGCCTCAACCACTATGCCACCTGCTGGCCCCTATCGCCATTTTAGGAATGCAAAAACAGGCCCTAATCCTGACCAAGGTCATACAGCTCACAAACCTGAAAGCAAAGATTTGAAACGTGGGTATCCATTTTATTCCAAAGAATATTATTCTTGGGACCAGCAGTTGGGGTAATGGCTATGTTGCTGAACTCCCATGTAGTCAACTGTGGTTCGAGTCCCAGACCTGGTGGATTAAACTCACATGGGCACATGTGTGTGCATGCCCAAGATTCGGAGAGGAGAATGGAGGAGAAAGGATTGCAGCATGGCCATCCCCTGGGGGGGGTGTGTGTGATTTCTCGCTTTCTGTCTGTCTCTCTGTCTTTCTGGTGAGCGCACTCACCCCTATAGCAAAAACCTTTCCAAAAGAAAAAAGAAAAAAAAAAATCATACAGATCAGATACCACTCGTGTGATCTGGTGAGTTAATTCCACTTGAGTTTCCTTAAATAGAATAACGATATCAAATAAGTATGTGTTGTATTAAATGAAGTACCACACATAAAAATTGTCTAGCACAATTGTTGCGGGACAGCGTGATCAACAATTGCTAGGGTCAGTCCTGTTCTTCTACCTAATTGGCCATTATAGAGGCAGCCACGAAAACATAACACCAAGGACACGCAAAAAATTAAGATTATCAAGCGCAACATTCATGTAGGCTTGCTCAGTCGCATAAATGTTTTGGCACTGGGAAAGGACCGCAAACGTACTTCCTCCACGCCTCTAGGGTAGTGAGTCCGAAACACTAGACAGAATTCCGAAGCTAAATCAGGAAGCGAAGCCTCTAGGACAGGCCTCCCAACCTCTCAGCTTTGCTAAGAAATTAAAGGGTAACCTTTTCCAGCCCCACCTGGCAGTGTCTCCTTGGCTGCTATGAAGCGCGCCGGGTTCCATAGGCAATCACTTAACCCTGAGCGTGGTGTGGTGACCCTGACCGTCTCCCCACTTGATGCGTAGGCGATTTCGGAGCAGGTCTATTTATTTTAGACCCCTAGCTCGACCTTCCCTGTCCCCAGGAAGACAGGAGGAGCTGCACACCGCTCACCCAGGTGCACGACCGCCAAGCCTGGGCAACGCCTTGCGGCCCAGACCCGGAGCCCCAAGTCCGGGCTCCTCCAGGCGGCGCTGGTCATTCCTCGGCCTCCCCAGGCAGCCGATCTTGCAGAAAGCGACTCCCCCAGCGCCAGGCCAATCCCGGGCTGCGCGAACTGCAGAGTGCACTTCCAGCCCCAGGGCGGAGCGGCCCGGCTGCACGGAGCCTGCGGGCCCCGATTCTCCAGGCCGGGTCTCTCCTCTTCCTCCGCGGAATCATTGATGGAGGGGCCCCACCACGCCCTCCGCAGAAGGGGGAGAGGCCCGCACTCACGTGCTGATCCTGGGAGTGGAAGTCCGTGAGAGTGAAGACTGGGCCAGCAGCGTTCCTCGGTCCGCGGTGCTGCCCGGGATTCACAGGAACCTTGAGCAGGACAGGCACAGGGGGGCGGGGCGGGGCCCTGGGGTGGGGCTAAAGAGCGCCCCGCCCATCCGGGCCACAGCTTCCCTGGCAGATGTGCTCCTGGTCCTGGCCCATGGGCTAGGGCTTCAAGGCGACACCGGGAATCATTCGCCTAAGGAAAACACGAAGTTAAAGTTTTGCTGTACCAAAATAAGTTTCTGAAGGATGAAAAGAACTAAATGATTTGAGAAAATGTGTACTATATCTGAACCCGAGGAAAACTCTCAACGTGAAAATAGCAAAATACTTAGTCCTTAACCATCCGCATTTGCAGCATATTCAGTGTGTACACTATCGGGCTCATTTTACACCCTTTATTTCCTTTGATACAACAATTTTGTGATATATTTAGTGCGTTAGCCTCATTTCGCACATGAGAAAACTATGACTGAGGAACGTGAGATTTGGTAGCTAAGCAATTGGTCTATTTGTCCAAAAATAATCACAGATTCTGCTAAATAAACGGAATTCAAAGTTCCTGGCTTGATACTACCTCAATGCTGCCTGCAACTAAACAAACCACTATGGAAAATATTGCTATATTTAAATACTTGAAAATTTAAAACTTCTTCTCAAGGAAACAAGGACAAAACCAACAGATCAACACATTGGGAAAAAATTTGTCACAAACCTGACAAAGGATAATTATATTAAGTTAATTTAAGTTAATAAAGGGAAAAAAAGAAAAACACCCTGTAGAAAAATGGGCAAATACAGATTTTTAAGTTATGGAAGAAATAGAAAGTGAAATACATGAACAAATGTAGACATTCCTAAGTAATTACTTTTAATCTACACGTTGTAAACTAAACATTTACAAAATCAGGTATGTGTAAGTAAGGATTCATTTATTTATTCAAAAATACATCCTGAGTGGACTATGTGCCCAACATTGTTCTGGATTTGTGAAATATCAGTAAGCAAGACAGACAGGAGCTTCTATACTGAAAAAGATACAAGTAATAAGTTACTAAAAAAAAAAAAAGAAAGAAATTATGGGGTCAGCAAATGGTGTGGTGATTAAGGATCTGGATTCCCACATGGTTGACCACAGTTTGAGCCTAGACCCAGGGGCTTCAAAAATTGCACTGAGTGTGTGTGCATGTGTGCTCAGAATCCCAAGAGGAGAATGGAGGAGAAAGGATTGTGGCATGGCCATTCCACATGACAGGTGATTTCTCACTTTCTCTCTCACTGTCTCTCTCTGGCGAGCACACACACACTATGGCAAAACCTTAAAAAAAACAAAACAACAACAAAGATACTTTACACAGTCAAAAAACGCTGTGAGGAAAGCAATACAGGATGATGTGATACAGAGGGACTTGAGGATAATGGGAACTTATTTAGCCAGGGAACTGGGAAGGCCTTCAAAGGTGGGGACATTTTGTTTGAGACCTGAAAAATAAGAAGGACAAATGATGCAAAGATCTGAGACCACAGGAATGATAGCAAGGGCATAAGCAAGAACAAACTTAGCAAATTGCAAACACAGAAACAAGGCCTTTTAGGCTGGACTATAGTGACTACAGTGGGGAGATGAGAGAAGTGTTTTCTGTTTTCACTAAAGGTGGTTGGTTCTGTTTTATTCTGTTTTCAAATTTAAATAAAGGTTCACAAGTACCACTAATTTAGCTGCAAGTTTTGATACTATCCATACCAAAACTTCAAAACTTCTGTCTTTACTAAAATAGGGAGAGAGTAGAGACGAGGGGATAGTTTTGTATTTTTAGTATATAAAAAGCAGTCTATCACTTGAATATATAATGCCATAGCTATTCAATGTACTTATTAATTTTCCTCAACTAGAGTCTCATATTCCATTTGACTGTTGCTCTTATTGATTTACACATTAATTCAACATTTCTTGAATGCATATTATATAACAAGCATAACAAAGTTCTAGAAATTTTTAAAAAGTACAGAATTCAACATCTGGAGGAGCGTTAAGTATGTTAAAATCAATAAGATATTCACAAAATACTCCCCTACGTGTTCTATCTAAGAAATTGTTCCTTCTTACTCTTTTGCTTTTTGATTTTTATGTTACCAGTTTTTATATAGTGGAGTACGCCAGGACTTAGTTTCTACGCTTTCCTGTATTTTTAAAAATTTGTGATAAAGCATGTCCATACATGAGAGAGAGAGAGACAGAGAGATAGAGAGATTGAAGCACTCTCCACTGGATCGTCACCCCATGATCCCCTTCTTCCAGTCCTTCGGCCCTTTGGACCTTGGACTTGTGCCAGTGTCTGATGTGTTTCAGTGTGACTGGGCAGGGGATTCAAACCATGATTGTCATGTGAGATCCAGCTTCTCTTGAGCTACGCATTACCACTGCACCATAGAGCTGGCTCCAGACCTTTTTTTTCTTGTTTTCACTCACATCCTAGTTACCTCATCTCATCTAGCAGTTTTGAATTATATCTTTATCTTTAAGGCTACCCAACTTCCTTCCATACTTTTCCTCTGAAACGCCAAATTCCAACTGCCTACTCTATACTTGAATGTTGTATTAGTTGTCAGTTGCTCTGTGACAGATTGTACCAAATTTAGGAGTTTAAAATAAGAATTCCCAGTGATTACCTCTCATAGCTTCTGTGGTTCAGGAATTTAGGAGTGGTTTCGCTGGGTGGTTCTGCCTCATCACCTCTCATGATGTTATACTGCCAGGGCTGTGGGCATTCAATGGCTTGACAGGGGCTGAAGACCCACATCTAAGGTGGTACACTCATGTGGCTAGTGGAGTTCCTCTCCATGGGGGCTTCTCCACAGGGCAGCCTGAGTGTCTTCATAACAGGGCTGTGGGCTCTTTTCAAGAAAAATAATCCAAGAGACCAAGGCACAAGCTGAAATGACTTTTTTGGCTTGGCGTCTGATGTCACACATCTTTACTTCTACTGTATTCTACTGGTCAAACAGACCTGCCTTGATTTAAGGTGGGAGAGAATTTTACAAAGAGTAAACCCAGAAGGTAAAGATCATTGGGAGCCATTTTAGAGGCTGGTTACATTTGTCTAATACACATTTGAAAACTATCATACAGAAATACAACTTTCTGATCCTCTTCCCTAAAATTGTTCCTCCCACATGCTTCTCTACCTCGAATAATGACAAAATATTACTCAATTGTTGGGGTAAAACACTTGGAGTCACCTTTGACTCTACTTTTGCCTCCTGACCCCCATCTGGTATGGTCTGCCAGCTAATCCTGTCACCTTTATCAAAATACTAGGTTGTCACTAAAGTCATGATGTATCAAAAATGCATCATGACTTCTCAGACAACTCAATATATCCAGACTCTGGCCACTCATATCTTCCAGCCTAGTTTAAACTAACACTGTTTCTTTCTAGATCACTGTAATAACTTAGCAACTGATCCTCTTTAGTCAGTTCTCAAAACAGTTAGAAGGACCCAATTAAAACATAAATTAGGGTGGGCTGGCTGGTGGCATGGTGGTTAAGGAACTGGCTGACTGTGGTTCGAATCCTGGACCTGGCAATTCCTTTCTCACTTTCTCTTGCTCTCTCTGTTCAAAATTTAAAAATAATAAATAAAATTAAATAATTCCCGGGGCCAGCAGTTGGCGTAATGGCTATATCGTTGGACTCCCATGTAATCAACAGCAGTTCGAGTCCAATACTCGGTGGCTTAAACTCACGCTGGGCACATGTGTGTGCGTGGCCAAGATCCTGAGAGGAGAATGGAGGAGAAGGGATTGGAGTGACTTCTCCTTTCTGTCTGTTTCTTTCTGGCTAGCACATGCTCCCTATAGCAAAAACCTCTCAAAAAAATAAATAAAATAAAAATTTTAAAATTCCACTGAAAAATTCCATGTTGTTTATTTGAAATTCAAATATAACTCTGCTCCCTCAGTCTTTCATATTTTAGACAGCTGCGCTTCACTTTCTTGTGGGACTTTTCTCTGGGTTCTCCCTTTTCTAAATCTCTCTTCCAAGGGCGTGGTGGCGCCCGCCCTATGGTAAATCTCTCTTCCAGTTTTTCCATCCTTCCTTATGTGGAGCCGTTTTTCTTCCAAATCTAATGCATTACAATAGATCCTGTTAATACTCAAAGACCATCCTCAAGAAACATACCCTCTAGTAGCAGAGCATGACATATCTTAAAAAAAAAAAAAAAAAAAAAAAAAAAAAAAAAAAAATAAACCCCCAAAAATGAACAATGCCACCATGAAAGATGCCTGCAGAGGTGAAGCAGTAAGAGCCACTGACCTGAACAGAGGCCTCTCTGCCCCAGTTCGCTGAGCGCAGGCGCAGAAAACCCGCCTAACTCCGATCAAGGACTACACTTCCAGCCCTGCAGCCCGTGGACCGGAAGCCATGGGGCGGAAGAGGCGGGGCCTTGAGGGGACGGGCCGCTGTCCTCTTAGGAAGGACCGAGGGGCTTGCTGCCCCGCCCCTCGCCGTTGCAGACCGAAGCGTCAAGTGTCAAGTGCCAGAGTTGCAGGTTATGGCGCTGGTCGTGCGACTGTCGCGCTTCCTTCCTTTGGGACGTGGAGCCGCTGCAGGGCTTCGGCTCCTGTGGGTGACTTCGCGCAGCCTCGGGCGTCGCGGCTTCCGGCCCTTCCGCAGCTCCGAGGTACCTTCACAGTTCTGCTCCCGCTCCCTCGCGTACCGAGGGACTCCCAACGTCCCACGGCCGGCGACTGAGCTGCCCGCCTGCCTGTGGGACAGTGTGCGGAGGAAGGAGCGCGGCCGGGGTGAGGAGCGCAGCCCCTGACCGTGAGGATCGGTTCTTCCCATTGTGCAAGCTCCCTCTCCTCTCTGCAAACAGGGCTGAGAGAGAAGTGGGGTACGTGCCCCCGAGAAGCTTGCCTCCTGCCCGCCAGGCCTGTGTGAATATTTGAAGAACTGAAGGGAGAAAAGAACCTCGCTGGCAATAATTGTCACTGTCAGAGGGGCCAGAGTAACAGTGCTCCGCGGCCATCTCTCTCTGTCAGACTGAAGTTAGAGATTTCCTACTGTTCAGGTTTTAAAAATATGTACATTTCTGTGTTTGTTTTATCTACGCAATGTTAAGGTAGGATGTTTGATTGTCACAATTCTGGCATTTCTGCAAGAGGCTTTTGTAAAGTACGAATTTATTTTGATGCAAAAAAAAAGTGAAGCCATGTATATTTTTTTCATAATATGCAGTTTTCATGAACTTTTTGAAGACCGCTCATATTAAACTTCCCTGGCCTTTGTCTTTGAAGTGAGGTTGTGGAGTGGCAGTGCACATTGGTGTATATGATATTTCACTTGCACTGTCAGGTGTTCCATTATTTTAAACTTTGAAATATAAGTTTAACTGTCTTCTCAGTTAAACTTAGAATTATTGTGGGACAGAGGGGCAATTTAGACAGAGTGCTGAGGAGTACTAAATATGGAACTAATTAGCCTTAAGTTTCCAAATTAGAAAATTAATGAATTTAAAGTCCTATTTTAATGGGTTGGTCATAGTTCAACTATATAGGAAGATAGCTAATGTCATTGAAGTTTACTATAGATATATGCAGACACTGTGTTAACTATTTCCTCACTTAATCTTTTCATAAGAATTATTTATGGGACCAGCAGTTAGCGCAATAGCCATGTCACTTGATTCCCATGTAGTGGACCACGGCTTGAGTCCCGGACCTGGTGGCTTAAACTCACGCCGGGTACATGTGCATGAGTGCCCAAGATCCCAAGAGGAGAATGGAGGAGAAGGGATTGCAGCATGGCCATCCCCCCTGAGGGGTGATTTCTTGCTTTCTGTCTCTCTGTCTCTGGTGAGTGCATGTGCCTTAGAGCAAAAACCTCTCCCCCCCCAAAAAAAAATTATTATTATTTAAATTTAATTTCAAAAGGGGAAACTAAGGTTAAATAACATGTTCTCATGTCACATAGCTAGAAAAATGCTGTATTTGAGGACCAGCAAGATGACGTGGTGGTTAAGGCAGCTAGATCTCACATGTCTGACTCCGTAATTCAAGTCTCACACCAGAGACTAACTGGTTGCCTGTGTGGGTAGGTCCAGAATCCCCTAGAGGAGAGTGGAGGAGAAAGGAGTCATCCCTCTGCAGAGGTGCTATCTCTCTGTCTCTCTCTGGTGAGCACACCTGCCCAGTAGCAAATCAAGAAAGAAGGAAAGGAAGAGAGAAAAATGTATTTGATGGCAGGTAGAATATCTTCAGAGCCCATGAACTTCATATAGTTGGTATATAATAAAAACTGAAAAAGGAAGATAAAAAAGGTTAAGAAAAAAGTGAAGATTAAGGGAGAGACTAGACAGAAAAAATCTCCATTCTAAGTCAATGGGCAATGATGAAGATTCTTCTTTCAAGGTTTGTTGAATTTTCAGAGTTGGAACTAACCAGCTTATAGTTCTCTATGTCTTTTCATAGCCTTTTAAGCTTTTTTTTTTTTTTGCCTTTTTCTGTTGTACTCTATGTTAATGTGAGATCCATCGCTGCACAGTTATTCTTCAACAAATTTGCATTTAGTACTTAATATGTGTCAGGCTTTGTTCTAAGCTCTGGGATATAGCAATGAACATGAGAGTCAGAAAACCCTTTCTCATTAATCTTAACAGACAAAAAGGACAGTCTCTGTAAAATATAATGAATACCTAAGTGTGAGGAAAAGGAAAGCAAGGTTATACTTCATTTTATCTTTAGAAAAATTACTTGTATGCCAGAGGGTATGCATATAATGAGAGAGAAAGTGTAAGCATCCTTCCAATGCAGTATCATCACACCACATCTTTTTTCCCTCCAGGACTCCATTTGGTCAAGATCCTGGGGACACATGTTCCCAGCAGATTTTTTTAAGCTTCTGAGGCCAAGAATGAAAATATGCTCTCTGGCTTTTTCTGCACAGCACTTAACTATTAATTTGACCAGATAGGGACAGAGTGAAAGTGTGAGAGAGAGAGAGAGAGAAAGTGAGAAAGCAAGCCGCCAGGTCCAATACTTGAATCGTGGTCAGCAATGTGGGGGTCCAGTGCCCTTAACCACCACACCACCTACCAGCCCCTATAACTTAATCTTAGAAGTGGCATCATTTCTGTTGTGTTCTGTTTTTTAGAAGAGAGTCAATAAGGTCTACCCTACTTTGTTTGTTTGATTTTTGCCTTAGGGCACATAGTGCTTGACAGAGAGAGACAGAAAGTGAGAAATCATCCCCCAGGGGGAAATGGTCACTCCACAGTCTCTTCCACTCTAGTCTCTTCTTCCGATGTTGGGTTCTCTTCTTGGGATTTTGGTACACATGCACATGTGCCTGGTGTGATTTTCTAGCTGTTGGTTCTGGGGCTCGAGCTGAAGTTCGTCATGATATGAGTCCAGAACCTTAACCACTACACCAGCTGTTGGCCCCATCTAGCCTACTTTTTTTTAAAGGAATTATCTTATTTAATTTTATTTATATTTATTTTTAATTTGACCAGAGAGGGGCAAAGTTAAAGAGAGAGAGAAAGTAAACCACCGGGTCTGGGACTCAAACTGCGCTTGGCCATGTGGAAATGTAGCACCCTTAACCACCATGCCACCTGCCAGAGCCTCATCTAGTCTGCTTTTAAGGGGAAGTTATTACACAAAGATAGGCATATTGGGAGGGTGGGTCATGGGGCGCCATTTTAGAGGCTGCCCACAACAACCAGATTGTATAAATCTTGTACCATATATTTCTGATTTTAGTCTAAAGATTATAGGAAACTATTAAAAGTATTTGAAATAGGTAAGTTAGTTGGTCAGATTTGCATTTAAGAAAATCACTGTCTAATACTAAGATTGGATAGGCTAGAGTAGAGAAGAGATCATTGTTAAAGAATACTTAGAAGTGTGGTATTGTGAACTTTAGTGGTAGCCATGAAAATGAAAATAAGTGGATGTATTCAGAGAAAAATAAGGAATTAGAATCATGAAACCTGAAAGATAGCTTCAATGTGGGGATTGAAAAGAAAGAGTCAAGAAAGATTCTCAGCCTCTGGTTAGAGAAGCAGGATAAATGGTGGTGCTGCTCTGTTTACTGTGGTAAGATGACAAAGATTTAAGTGGCAAAGAGGGAGATGAGTTATATTTTAGACTAATTATGGTGAATTTGATCAGACAGCCAAGTTGACATGTGAAATGGATAGCTGTTTGATTAGTCTGGCATATACCTGAGCTTTGGGCAGAAGGGTAGATTCAGGAGCCTTTAGTGTATAGTTGTAAATGAAGCCATAAGAGAAATCAGAAGTATTTAGTAGGAAGACCAAAAGGCCTAGTACATATCATGAAGGAATTCTAACATTTAAGAAAAGGAACTGGCAAGGATTTGGGAAAAGCAGAAGAGACAGGGTGGTGACATGTTCCTTTTAATTAGTGATGACTTTGTACTTCTACATTCTTTCTGGCTCCAAAATTGGTATAATCAATGTGGAAAAAAACTCCCCTAAAAGGGACCAGCAGATGGTGTAGCAGTTACGTTGCTAGACTCCCACATGGCCAACTGTGGTTCGAGTCTTAGACTTTGTGGCATGAAAATCATGCCAGGTATATGTGCATGTGTGCCCAAAAACCTAAGAGGAGAGTGGAAGAGAAGGGGTTACAGTGTGGCCACCCTCCCGGGGAGTAATTTCTCACTTTCCATCTCACTGTCTCCATCTCTGTCTGTCTCTCTCCAGACAGTGCATGTGCCCTAAGGTAAAAACCTTTTAAGAAAGAGGTAAGTCCCCTAAGAGAGAACCTGCTTCTTTTGTTCAACTGTTTTTTGGATTAATTAATATATATTTTAGCTTGCTATAGGGCATGTGTGCTTGCTGGAGAGAGACAGAGAAGGAAAGTGACAAAGCACCACCCAAGAGGGATGACCATGCTATACACCCTTCTTCTGAGATTTTGACAAGGATACATGTGCTTGGCATGATTTTCAAGCCACCAGGTCCAGGACTCAGAACCACTTAGTTGTCCATGTGGGATCCAGCCATCTTAACCTCCACACCATCTGCTGACCTCTCAAAAAATATTGTTTGAGACTCATTACATGAAAGGCATTGTGCTGGGCATCAGAGGTATAAGGTGAAAAAGCATGTTCACTTTTTAAGTTCAGAAACATGATTTTCATTTACTTCTTCCAGAGATAAGCAAAGAGCTGGCTTCACATTAACCAAACAAATAAGAACCCAGCTGATAAACTACCACTTCGTTAATTTACAATAAGAAATCTGTTAGCTGTTCAGCAATGCATTTTCTCCCTCTAAGAAAGCCAGGATAATTGTTTTTAGTGCATGATATTAATAAAGTTATGGGGATTAGGCCCCATAGCCTAATGATTAAGGGAGCCAATTCCCACATGACTGACAATGGTTCAGTTCCTGGCCCTGGTAAATACTAAAAATATAACTATTACTAAGTTAACTTTACAAGAGGGCTTTAAAAAGTTCATGGCAAAGAATAATTAAAGAAGGGGTTTATTTTGGTGCAAAATTTTGAAATCCCTAATCTTTTTAGGATACATATTTTTCATGAATTTTTTTGAAGCCCTCATACTATTTTGCTGTTTATTTTCTTAATCCAGTTGTATGCACTATATTGAATATTAATACTCAAGAAAGTAAAGTATTCAGCATATTGGAATGTGTAGGATTCTCCTTTCCTACTGTAGGTATTTATCAAAAGTTTAAATATGGATCATATATGGGTTATGAGAAACAGTTGGGAATGACTCCAAAGTTTTTTGTTTTCTTTTTCATCTTGGTAACTAGAAAAATGTTTCCATTTATCATAATAGAGAAAATGGAGAAGAACAGTGGGTTTGAGGGAAATTAAAGCTCTTTTACCTGATAAAATCCAGAAGCCTATTAGATTTCATGTAGAGAGAGATGTTGAGTAGGCAGTTGGATATATACATGATTCTGAAGTTTAAAGGAGACATCTGGGCTACAAGTAGAGTGTTTTGCCATGTCAGTGGTATTTAAAGTCATGAGATGAAATGAGACCACCAAAAATGGTATAGGTAAGAGGTGTGGGGCTAAATCCACACCTGAGCAATGAGATACTGGAAATGAAGAACAAAGAAGAGCAATTACAGAGACCAAGAGAATAGTGTTCCAAAAGTGAACTTAAGAGCTTCAAGAGCACAGCAAGTAGCAGAACACAGCAAGTACTGAGGAAAGAGGCATGAAAAAGAAGAAACTTTGGGGGTTGATATATCATTATCTTGATTGTGGTGTTGACAGTCTTTGCAGATTTATGCATGTATTTTAACAAGTTGTACCTAAGTTTGTATATGCCAATTATAATTAAAGAAAGCTATTTTAAAAATTAAATATCCACTCATGATCTTTTGTTTTTGAAAAGAGGACTTGATTAGACCTGGTGATGACATGGTAGTTAAAGTAGCTGTGTCCCACATGGCTGACTGTGGGATTTAAGTCCTAGGCCTGGCTTGAGAAACACTGGGTACATGTATGTGTAAAAATCTTGAGAGGAAAATGGAGAAGGGATTGTGGTGTGGCCATTCCCTCCAGGGAGTCCTCTCTTACTGTCCCTCTCTTCTCTCTCTCTCTGATGAGTACATACTACCTATAGAAGATTATAAAAAAAAAAATAGAGGAAATGATCAGCTGTCCAATTTTTTAAAAATTTTTATAATTATTTATTTAATTTTATTTATTCATTCATTTTATTTTAATTTGACCAGAGAGAGAGAGAGACAGAGAGAGAAAGCAAGCCACCAGGTGTGGGACTTGAACCACGGTCAGCCATGTGGGAGTGTCCAGCACCTTAACCAGCATGCCACCTTCTGATCCCCTGTCTTTTAACAGGTCAAATAAAATAAGAATTCAGAGGGACCATCAGATGGCATAATGTTTTCATTGCTCTACTCCCATGTAGTTGACTGTGTTTTGACTTCCAAACTCGCAGTTTAAAACTCACGAAGGGCATGTGTGTGTGCGTGCCCAAAGTTCTGAGAGAAGAATGGAAGATAAAGGATTGCAGCGTGGCCATGTTCCCTGGTTAGGGAGTCATTTCTCATTTTCTATCTCTCTGGCGAGCACATGTGCCCTATAGCAAAAATATCTAAAAACAAATTAAAAAAAAAAAAAAAGGAATTTAGGATTGACCATAGGATGTGCCCTATGCCCTATGGCAAAACCTCTCAAAAAAAGAAAGGATTGACTATAGGATATAGCAACATCCTTGGTGACATTAATTAGGGTACCACTGGAGGAGCTGTGGGAATAAAAGTGTGATTTGTGTGAGTTCAAGAGAGAATGAGAAAGAAATCGGTGATAGTACAGACTTTTTTGAAGAGTTGCTGAAAAGAGGAGAAAGAATAAAGGGACATGTAGAGTCAAGGGGAAGCATTTTTTTTGTCTTTAAGGGAGAAATTACAGCTCACAAAAATATAGCTTGTTTATATTTAGCTGATGGGAAAGAATCAACAGAAGGGGGAAATGTGCTATATTAAAAAGAGAAAAATTGTCATAGAGCAAAGGGAGAATTGCTATGGGTTTCATGGGTCACTTTTGAAAATATCTTTACGTAAAGGCATGCACTTTTTTATGTTTAGTAGTCATTGTATTTCATATTCTTCATCTTTTCTATCCATAAAGTAGATATTTATTATGTATTAATGTCTCATTTTATTTCACAATTTGTAATATCCATACATCCACAAAATGTGGATTTTCCAATCCAGCACTTATCAGCATAACTGATTTTTAGATGAGCCACCACTCCTTGATGAAACAGTGTTCTCAATAAGTTGTACCCTACTTATTATTGTTAGTTATTCAGGGAACTTTTTGAAATCCCTGTTTGGTAGTGTGTTATTCCAAAGATCTGAATTTTAAGTCATGAGTTCTTTTAGTAGACTTAATTGTATTTATTTAGACTTGTTAAAAGTATTTCAAGAATTCTTTTTTTGTATGTATATTATAAAATACACATCACAGGATATTTATCAGCTTAATCATTTTTAAGTGTGTACTTCAGTAATGTTATTTATATTCACATTATTGTGCATTCAATCCCCAGAACTTTTTCATCTTAAAATAGTTTTACTGAATAGGTTGATTAAATAATTTTTGAGCTTCCAGGATTTTTAAGATGGATTGGTAGAAAATGGGAGTGGTAGAAAATGCAATTGTTGCTTAGGGTAACAGTACCTTCAAACATTTCAGTTTGGTAACTCTGACCATAATTATTTCCACAGGGGGTAAGAAACCCAGGAACTTTCAGAAGAAGCCTTTTATTCTCAGCCTTGTCTTATTTGGGTTTTGAAACTTATCAAGTCATTTCTCAGGCCTCTGTGGTCTATGCCACATCAAAAGGTAAGCTAAAGCTAAACATCTGGAATATTTTGGGGTTTTTTTTTTAGTTATTTTGTTAACAACTGTCAACTATAGTGATTTTTGAACGGAAAATGAAACTAACAGTGTTATCATCTAGAACATTTTCTACTTTCTTTGTCCAGAATTTTATATTTATGTACATGTGTATATAAAATTTCTAGAAACTAGGGCTCCTTCAGCGATTAAATACTCTGTTAATACTTTTACTATTTTTGTGAGACCCCTGGGGTAATAATGTATTCTACCTTTTTAAAGATTGGAAGTCGAGGGACTAGCAGTTAGCGTAATGGCTATGTCGCTGGACTCCCATGTAGTCGACCGCGGTTTGCGTCCCGGACCCGGTGGCTTAAAAAACTCATGCCGGGCGCGTGTGCGTGTGTGCCCAAGATCCCGAGAGGAGAATGGAGGAGAAGGGATTGCGGCATGACCATCCCCCCAGGGGGTGATTTCTCGCTTTCTGTCTCTATGTTTCTCGCTGTCTGGCAAGCGCATGCGCCCTATAGCAAAAAATCTCTCCAGGAAAAAAAGATTGGAAGTCGAAGGAATATACTACAGACACCATGTTTGGTCCACAAAACCTAAACTGTTTATTCTCTGGATCTTTATGAAAAAAGTTAGCCAACTTCTCCTTTATAATGAGAGAATGATTCTTATGTTTCTTGCATGCCAGGGTATTACATTCTTCTCCATATAATTAAGAAAAGGTCCTTGTGGTTTGACATTAAAAATATTTTATTTACAAACAGTGCACCTTATTTTTTTAAAAGAATTATTTTATTTATCTTTATTTGTTTATTTATTTTAATTTGACCAGAGGGAGACAGTGTGAGAAAGAGAGAGAGAGCAAGAAAGAGAGAGAGAAAGTGAGAAAGCAAGCTGCCGGTCTGGGATTCAAACCATGGTCAGCTGTGTGGGAGTTCAGTGCCCTTAACTACCACACCACCTGCCAGTCCCAAAAGTGCAGCTTATTACCAAATGTCAAGTAAGTGGTTAAAAAATGAAAAAATTCTATCAAATTTCCTGACATAATATAAATAAGTAAACATATTTTAAGACTTGTCAATTTTTTAAAAATACTAAGTTTAGGTAAACCACTTGTATATATCAATAAAGCCAAAGTTTCAGTACATTAGAGAAATACCATTTTAATTTATGTGTTATGCATTTTTCTTTTTCACATTTCTCACTTTATAATCATAAAGGAGAAGATGATTAGGAAAAGAAGCAGATTTTAAACTTTTTTTTTTGAGAGATTTTTGCTATAAGGCTGCATGCACTTGCCAGAGAGACAAAGAGAGACAGAAAGACAGAAAGTAAGAAATCACCCCTCAAAGGGGATGCCCATGTTTCAGTCCCTTCTCCTCCACTCTCTGGGGATTTTGGGCACCCACGCACACGCAACTCGTGTGAGTTTTATGCTGCCAGGTCTAGAACTTGAACCGTGATTGACTACATGAGAGTCATGTGACGTAACCATTACACCATCCGCTGGTCCCAATAGAGATTTTTGTTTTTTGTTTTTGAGATTTGATTTTGAATAGCTACATTTTTTCAGAATTACTTTACCTTTTGATTTTATTTATTATCGTTATTATTATTATTATTTAATTTGACCAGAGAGAGAGAAAGTGAGAAAGCAGGCTGCCAGATCCAGAACTCGAACTGTGCTTGGTCGTGTGGGAGTCTAGAATCTTAACCACATCACTTGCAGCCCTGACTAGATACTCTTATTAGAGTTATGGTAGAAGAAGAATTTGAGAATATCATCTAAAACTTACTGATTATTAATTTATTTACCCACAACTATCTTTACTTTTAAAAAGTAAATAATAGAGAATTCTTTTCTTCTTTCTTTTTAATGTATGATTTTCATAAAGAAGGACAAAGCAACAAAGCAGAGGACATGGAGTTGACAGTTGCTCATTGGCATATTTTCAGATACTTAGACTAATTTATCTTTCTAAAGCTTCCTGAACTTTTCACCGTAAGTTTAATTCTCACATATACTTGTGTAAAGTAGATTGGCCAATTCTTCTTTTTTTCTTTTTTTTCTTTTTTTTTTTTTTTTTGCTGTAGGGCATGTGTGCTCACCTGAAAGACAGAGAGAGAGAGAGACAGAAAAATCACTCCCCAGGGAGATGGCCATGCCACAGTCCCTTCTCCTCCATTCTCCTCTCAGGATCTTGGACACTTATGCACACACACCAGGCATATGTTTAAGCCAACAGGTCCAGGACGCAAACTTTGTTCAAGTACATGAGAGTCCCTTGATGTAGCCATTCCGCCATCTGCTGGTCCTGGTTGGCCAATTCTTAAAATCACAACATAACACTAATATTCGCGCTATAGGGCGCATGTGCTATACATGATTGCCATTTGGTACAAAAGAATATGTATGTGTTTACTGTGTTATAGAAATTCGGATTTTTTCCATCCAGTACATGCTAATTCTTTTCTTCTGACTTATATTCATTTATGTGCTATTTAAAAGAGTTGACTTCCTCCACAGCAAAAATCAAAGAATGTACACACGAAAATAATTCTAAATGTTAGTTCTAATCCTCACTAAACCTTGCCTTGACCTTGGAAGAATTTAACATTTTAATATTCCAAAGTATAACTGCCTTATATTTTAGAAATTTTTGTACATTTTTAATGCCATAGTGTATATGTACATTCATGAGAGATACAGAGAGAAAGAGAGCAAACACTACCCTAGGCCTGGTCATGATGTAATTCTTCTTCCGATTCTCTATCCTGTCAGGATCCTGGGCATGCATGTGTACCCCTGGTATGTTGGGGTCAGGATTCAAACCCCAGTTGGCCTTGTAGGATCCAGCTTCCTCTGTGTACTGCTTACTTGCTGTGCTAAGTAGAACAAGCCCCTTTCTGTATTTTGAAGCATATTTGGAATACTGACAAAGTAGTACAAAGAATACATTGTGAGTATTTATTTAGCCTGCCTTGGTTTTTCTGTATTTTGGTTCATTTGTTTATTTTTTTATTATGTGTGTGTGTATATATATACATGCGTGTATGTGTATATATATGCGCACATGTTTCACACACATATATACATGCATATATATTTTTATATATATATACACCCACACATATGTACACTTTTTCTTGGAGAGGTTTTTGCTATACGGCGCATACACTCACCAGAAAGAGAGAGAGACACAAAGCGAGAAATCACCCCCCAAGGGGATGGCCACACTACAATCCCTTCTCCTCCATTCTTCTCTCAGGATCTTGGGCATGCATGCACATGCACCCGGAGTGAGTTTAAGCCACTAGGCCACTAGGTCACCAGGTTCAGGAATCGAACCACAGTCGACTACATGGGAGTCTGGTGACGTAGCCATTATGCTAACTACTGGTCCCACACATATGTACACTTTTTTGCTGCCACATTGCCTCTTTTTTTTTTTTCTCCTATAGGGTGTGTACACTCGCTAGAGACACAGAGAGAGGGATAGTGAGCAATCACCGCCCAGGAACGATAGCCACGCCACAGTCCCTTCTCCTCTATCCTCCTCTTGAGATTTTGGGCTTGCATGCACATGCACATGCACATGCACATGGTGTGTTTTCAAGCTACCAGGTGTAGACTTGAACCTTGTCATTGGCTATGTGAGATCCAGCTGCCTTAACCTCCACACTACCTACTGCCCCCTCCCCCCACATTCCCTCTTTAAAAACTTTTTTTGTTGTTATTGTTTAAAAGAGTATTATTTTAACTTTATTGATTCCTTGGGACAGAAAGACAAAAGGGAAAACACAGGTACTCACAACAGAGTCCTCATACTCTTATCCAGCTTCAGCCCCAGCTAGCTATGATCATGGGCATGCTTGCGTGTACTTGGTATATACAATGACATCTCAAGATGCAAATCCCAAATCTTGCCATGTGGCTTATTGGCTGGCCTATTTTAAAGATTTTTCAGTGACAATAATTATATATACTTACAGGGTATAAAGTGATGTTTTGATATATGGGGAGTGATTGAATCAAGATAATTAATGTACCCATCCCCTCATTTATTTATTTTATTTATTTATTTATTTATTTTTTTGGTATTACTGACCGTGTTTTTTCCCCTCATTTATTTTTGTAGGACATAAAATTTACTGACTTAGAAGCTGTGAAATACACATCATTAGTAACTGCAGTCACAATGCTGTGCAATTATGTCAAACATTTATTTCTCCTGTTTAACTGAAACTTTGTATCCTTTGACCAACACCTCATTTCCTTCACCACCCCACCCCACCCTTTGGTAACCACTATTCTACTCTTTACCTCTATTAGTCTGACTTTTTAAATTTCTATATATAATTGGGCTCCTGATATTTGTCTTTCTGCATCTGGCATATTTCACTCAACATGTCCTTCAGGCTCATCACCATCACAAATGACAAATTTCCTTTTCTTTTTAGGTTAAATAGTATTCCATTGTATATATAACACATTTAACTTTTTTTTTTAGAGGTTTTTGTCTTAGGGTGCATGTGCTTGCTGGAGAGAAAGAGAGACAGAGACAGTGAGAGGGAAAGTGAGAAATCACCCTAGGGTGGTTGGCCATGCTGCAGTCCCTTCTCTTCCATTCTCCTCCTGGGATCTTGGGCATGAACTCACATGTGCCCAGTGTGATTTTCAAGCCACTAGGACTTGAAAATCCAGGACTCCAACCAGGGTTGATCATGAAGGAGTCCAGCAACATAATTGCTATGCCATTTGCTTGTCCCGATATAACACATATTCTTTATCTATTCATCTGTTGATAGATACTTAGGTTCATTCCATATGTTGGCTACTGTGCATAGTGTTTCAGTGAACATGGAAGTGCAGGTATCTCTTTGATACCGTGTTTTTTTTGTTTTTCTTTTTGTTTATAGTTTTTTGCTAAAGAGTGTGTAAACTTGTCAAAGAGAGACAGAAAGAGGAAGTGAAAAATCACCCCCTTGAGGGTCTGGCCATACTGCAGTCTCTTCTCTCCTCTTGGGATTTTGAGCACACACAGAAACATGCCCAGCATGATTTTCAAGCTTGGGACTTAAGCCAAGCAGTCAGCTCTGGGGGAACTAGTCCCTTAACCCCATACCACCAGGTATCCAAACATACTAATTTTAATTCCTTTGCATATATACCCAGAAGTGTGACTGCTGAATCATGTGACATTTCTATTTTTAGTTTCTCAGAAACCTCTTTACTGTTTTCCATATGACTGCTGCTTTGTTTTCATAAACACACACACACACACACACACACACACAAACTTCACTCTAATTTTGTTGGCATGTTTATAAACTTTATGAGACTATAGGCCATAGTCTGAAAAAAAATTGATAGAATATAGAAACAATTTTTTTTTTCAGAGGTTTTTGCTATAGGGTGCGTGCACTCGCCAGAGGGACAGAGACAGAGAGACAGAAAGCGAGAAATCACCCCCTAGGAGGGATGGCCACGCTGCAACACCTCTCCTCCATTCTCCTCTCAGGATCTTGGGCATGCACGCACATGTGCCCAGCGTGAGTTTAAAACAGTGGGTCCGAGACTCAAACTGCAGTCGACTACATGGGATCACCGCCCAGGAACGATAGCCACGCCACAGTCCCTTCTCCTCTATCCTCCTCTTGAGATTTTGGGCTTGCATGCACATGCACATGCACATGCACATGGTGTGTTTTCAAGCTACCAGGTGTAGACTTGAACCTTGTCATTGGCTATGTGAGATCCAGCTGCCTTAACCTCCACACTACCTACTGCCCCCTCCCCCCACATTCCCTCTTTAAAAACTTTTTTTGTTGTTATTGTTTAAAAGAGTATTATTTTAACTTTATTGATTCCTTGGGACAGAAAGACAAAAGGGAAAACACAGGTACTCACAACAGAGTCCTCATACTCTTATCCAGCTTCAGCCCCAGCTAGCTATGATCATGGGCATGCTTGCGTGTACTTGGTATATACAATGACATCTCAAGATGCAAATCCCAAATCTTGCCATGTGGCTTATTGGCTGGCCTATTTTAAAGATTTTTCAGTGACAATAATTATATATACTTACAGGGTATAAAGTGATGTTTTGATATATGGGGAGTGATTGAATCAAGATAATTAATGTACCCATCCCCTCATTTATTTATTTTATTTATTTATTTATTTATTTTTTTGGTATTACTGACCGTGTTTTTTCCCCTCATTTATTTTTGTAGGACATAAAATTTACTGACTTAGAAGCTGTGAAATACACATCATTAGTAACTGCAGTCACAATGCTGTGCAATTATGTCAAACATTTATTTCTCCTGTTTAACTGAAACTTTGTATCCTTTGACCAACACCTCATTTCCTTCACCACCCCACCCCACCCTTTGGTAACCACTATTCTACTCTTTACCTCTATTAGTCTGACTTTTTAAATTTCTATATATAATTGGGCTCCTGATATTTGTCTTTCTGCATCTGGCATATTTCACTCAACATGTCCTTCAGGCTCATCACCATCACAAATGACAAATTTCCTTTTCTTTTTAGGTTAAATAGTATTCCATTGTATATATAACACATTTAACTTTTTTTTTTAGAGGTTTTTGTCTTAGGGTGCATGTGCTTGCTGGAGAGAAAGAGAGACAGAGACAGTGAGAGGGAAAGTGAGAAATCACCCTAGGGTGGTTGGCCATGCTGCAGTCCCTTCTCTTCCATTCTCCTCCTGGGATCTTGGGCATGAACTCACATGTGCCCAGTGTGATTTTCAAGCCACTAGGACTTGAAAATCCAGGACTCCAACCAGGGTTGATCATGAAGGAGTCCAGCAACATAATTGCTATGCCATTTGCTTGTCCCGATATAACACATATTCTTTATCTATTCATCTGTTGATAGATACTTAGGTTCATTCCATATGTTGGCTACTGTGCATAGTGTTTCAGTGAACATGGAAGTGCAGGTATCTCTTTGATACCGTGTTTTTTTTGTTTTTCTTTTTGTTTATAGTTTTTTGCTAAAGAGTGTGTAAACTTGTCAAAGAGAGACAGAAAGAGGAAGTGAAAAATCACCCCCTTGAGGGTCTGGCCATACTGCAGTCTCTTCTCTCCTCTTGGGATTTTGAGCACACACAGAAACATGCCCAGCATGATTTTCAAGCTTGGGACTTAAGCCAAGCAGTCAGCTCTGGGGGAACTAGTCCCTTAACCCCATACCACCAGGTATCCAAACATACTAATTTTAATTCCTTTGCATATATACCCAGAAGTGTGACTGCTGAATCATGTGACATTTCTATTTTTAGTTTCTCAGAAACCTCTTTACTGTTTTCCATATGACTGCTGCTTTGTTTTCATAAACACACACACACACACACACACACACACAAACTTCACTCTAATTTTGTTGGCATGTTTATAAACTTTATGAGACTATAGGCCATAGTCTGAAAAAAAATTGATAGAATATAGAAACAATTTTTTTTTTCAGAGGTTTTTGCTATAGGGTGCGTGCACTCGCCAGAGGGACAGAGACAGAGAGACAGAAAGCGAGAAATCACCCCCTAGGAGGGATGGCCACGCTGCAACACCTCTCCTCCATTCTCCTCTCAGGATCTTGGGCATGCACGCACATGTGCCCAGCGTGAGTTTAAAACAGTGGGTCCGAGACTCAAACTGCAGTCGACTACATGGGAGTCCAGCAACATAGCCATTATGCCAACTGCTAGTCCCTAGAAACAGTTTTTATAACTTGGAAGTTGATCCACATGTTTCTATATAAGGACGACTTTATTAGTTGTACAAATTTTACTTCATTGTATATACCTCTCTTCTATTTATTTGTTATTTTTTTAGGGAAATATTCTTTCAATAATAATTCCACTCATGAAAACTTTTTGCTTAATTCTCCTTAGATCTGCTTCCTGCTCATCGAAGCTAATTAAATGTTTTTTACTTCATTTACTGAAACTAAATCATATTCTGAAGTAGGACTTTGTGAAAATTACACTTAAAGAACATATATATAATCGACATTTTAGTTGGATGGGATTATAGAACTGATATTTTAAAATGGTAATATCTGTATTTACCACAAGGTGGTACTAAATACCCATTGTTAGCAGTAACTGAAACACTCAAGTAAGAACCTTTTTCATCATGTCTTTAAAATAGGCAATATTTAAAGCCCTCTGAAGAAAGATATGCCAGTATATTCATAGTAGTCTTTTGTGTATATGAATGTTTACTTATAAAATGCTTAAAAATAAGTTAATTACAATGCCCAGTTTAAATAAAGTCTCTTCATATATCACTTCAGCTGTTTTTTCTTTTCTTTTCTTTTCTTTTTTTTTTTTTACCATTTGTAATAGGTTGCATGTACTTACCAAAGAGAGATGGAGAGAGAGGGAAAATGAGAAGGCACCTCATGAGGGATGGCCACATTTCAGTCTCTTCTTCTCCATTCTCTTCTCCGGTCTTTAAGCACGCATGCACATGTGCCTGGCTTGTTTTTCAAGTTGCGGGTTAAGTAACATAGCTTATTTTAAAATATTTTCAGGAAAGTGTAGAATGTCAAGTTTAAAAAACTGATTTGTAGATATGTGGAATGGTCTACATGTTCCTACCATAGTGCCTGTATGAGAATGCAGTCCCATATCTCAGCATACTATAATTAAATCTTTTTTTAAAGTATGTGTCATATACTTTATATAACGTCAGTTTCAGAATATAGTTTCTAATTTTATTTTTTCCTGGTTTTAATAAATCATTAGTTAGCATAGCTTCATACTTATTTCTTATTATACTTCCATGCAGATTTTTCAGTTTCTTATCTTTCCTTATAGGTAACTTCTATATGTGACTTAATTTGCTTGTATATAAAACATGTTTATACTTCTTAGAATTGTGGTCATCTGACTTAGATTTTTTACTTATTATTATTTTTTTTAATAATCTTTGAAGTTGAAGAAATCCTTGAACAAGCAGACTACCTGTATGAAAGTGGAGAAACGGAAAAACTTTATCAGTTGCTAACTCAATACAAGGAAAGGTAGGCACTATGAATGAGAGGCTTTGGTTTGTTGTTTCCTCCATGTTTTTATGTTAAGCAATTAAAATGACCCTTAATGCTTAAAATTTTTGTAAAAGGCAATCGTTTTTATTTGAAAATAATATTTATTAGAGTTTAATTTATAGTATGTTATTTCTTATGTTAAATGACTCAAGTGCTACAGGTACCTCATTGATTTAGAAATTCTACTTACTCTAGTGGAATATTGCAATATTTTTGCCATTTTGCTTGGGATCATACCAAAAAGTCATTAAATAATGTGTTTATGTCATCTATCTATATCGCATACTTCTCATTCCCTTTCTTTTAATGTTACTCCTTATTGGCATAAGATTTAAATGAATTCACTGAGATTCAGGAAGATTGTATGCCACCACAGAATGCTAACTGAATGATATCATTTTAGTAGCACAGCCTTTCAGAAAAACCAAAAATACCTTTTTCTATTTAGTCTAAAATATCAACACAAACCCTTTTTTTGGAAGTAATTCATTCTTATCAAGTAAGTCAAATAGGCTTGATTACATTTTCACATCACTCAGTGTCATCTCCTAAATTAAAAAAAAAAAAAAGCTTAGTCATTTTCATCTACCTTTTTTATATTCCCCAAACCAGTTTTTTCTCCCAAAACATTCCAGTTTGACTCCTAAATATTGACAGGATCACTACTTCCTTCTCTCTTCTCCTCTCCATAACTTGAGGCGGCTGCTTTAGCATTTTATGATAGACCTATTTCATTGATAACTGGAAAAGACAGTTGTAAGGTACTTCCTCCATAGTCTGCTTACTTTAAAAATTTTATGTGTATACGAATTTTAGTTAAAAAAATAATGAAGTAGGTTTTGAGGGCTGGCAGGTAACATGGTGGTTAAGGGTGCTGGACTCCCACATGGATGACCATGGTTTGAATTCTAGACCTGGTGACTTGCTTTCTTTCTCTCTTTCTCTGTCCCTCTCTGGACAAATAAAAATAAATAAACGTTAAATAAAATAATTCTAAAAAATATTAAAAATAAAATAAGTCTAAATACATTTACTAAAAAGGAGTATATGTTTTTAAAAAACATTTCTAAATCCTAATTATGGTTATTCATATTTTAACCATTTCTTATTTTATATAATTATATGCCAGTTCTCCGAGTCTCATACCCTTACTTGAAATAAGCCAGGTATTATGGCCTAGCATTTAAATATAGGATTTACTTTGAGATGAATTATATTCAGTTATTCATTTATTAATAAATATTTATTATCAGTTCATACTTATATTGTGTCAGATTTGGGGCTAGGGATTCACCAGTTTGTATTTTTTTTTTTTAGCATATGACCCTGGTTATATAAAGTTTATATATTTCATGGTACTGTTTGAACAAGTAAGTTTAATTTCTTTTTTTTTTTTTTTTTTTAAGATTCTTAGGGCACATGCACTCACCAAAGAGACTGAGAGAGGGAAAGTGAAAAATAACCCCCTTCCCCAGAAGGGTTGGCCATGTTGCAATGTCTTCTCCATTCCCCTACTGGGATTTTGGGCACACATGCACAAGCACCTGGCATAAGTTTCAAACTATCAGATCTGGGACTCGAACCATGGTCAGCCATGTGGGAATCCAGAGCCTTAACAACACTACCTGCTGACCCTCACTAAGTAAGTTTTCTGAAGCATAGTGCCAGTGAGGTCAATCATCAAGTTGTTAAGTTTTATAGGGCAAAGATTTAGAGAATTCACAATGAAAAATATCTTTTAGAGAAGTTATTATTTTTTATTTTATTTTTTTAAGAGAGATTTTTTGCTATAGGACATATGCACTTGCTGGAGAGACAGACAAAAAGTGAAAAATCACCCCTTGGGGGCATGGCCAGTCCGAGGTCCCTTCTCCTCCATTCTCCTCTTGTGATTCTGGGCATGCACCCAGGATGAGTTTCAAGCTACGTGATCTGGGACTTGAACTGTGATCAACTACATGGGAGTCTAGCAATGTAACCATTACACCATCTGCTTATCCCAGAAGTTATTATTTTAAATAACATAGATAAGTTAATATTTATGAATAATGTTGAATGTTTTATAAGAAATTTTACCAAATAAAGGTTTTAAATGAAGTAAAATAATACATTTAGCATGATGACTTTTGAGATGTTGCTTGTTACATGCTAAGCTGAAAGAACATAATACAATCATTTGTGATGTTACTTTTAATGACTTTAAAATGTGAGTTAAAATGTCTTCGATTTTGTTATCATATCAGTGAAGATGCAGAAGTACTGTGGCGTTTGGCACGGGCATCACGTGATATAGCACAGCTTAGCTATACCTCAGAAGAAGAAAAAAAGCTATTGGTGTATGAAGCCCTAGAGTATGCAAAAAGAGCACTAGAAAAAAATGAATCAAGTTTTGCTGCTCATAAGGTGAGTTGTGTAAAGTAATTAAGCTGTTATCAAGTACTGAGAGGTGCATTAGTCTATGCATATGTATTATCCCTAATTTACATAGGAAAGAAAATTACTCTTTTTTTAAAGAAATACAAAATACATTTATATATATATATTTTCCACTGCAGCATAAATCATTCTTTATTTTGGCACTTTTAGTAAATCATATATTTTTAAAACTTGATATTTTTGACAAAATAATTCATATTACATGAACTTTTAGATCAGAGATTAATGCTTTTTTCTCTTTTTTTTTACAATTAAAGTATGAATTTATTTTGGTACAAAAACTTTTTGAAATTCATACATAATCTTCCCATTACACATGTTTCCATGAGCTTTTTTTTTTTTTTTTTTTGTGAAACTTTATTTATTTATTTATTTATTTGGAGAGGTTTTTGCTATAGGGCGCATGCACTCGCCAGAAAGACAGAGAGAGACAGAGAGACAGAAAGACAGAAAGCAAGAAATCTACCCCTTCATCATTCTCCTTTCGGGATCTTGGGCATGCATGCACATGCGCCCAGCATGAATTTAAGCCACCAGATCTAGGAATCAAGCCGTGGTCGACTACATGGGAGTCCAGTGACATAGCCATTACGCTAATTGCTGGTCCCAAAACTTTCTTTTTTAATGAATTAATTTACATTCATTCCCTCAGCATCATCACAGTATACAAAATGTTATTTCCCATCCAGAATATACTGCATAGTGGCTTAATCATGCATGTTATCGTCAATAATTTTCCATTTCTAGTTCCATATATATATATATATATATTACTCCTATTTCTGACCCTCTGCCCTTTCACATCCTCCTCCCACACTACCTCTGGTGTCTACAGTTGTTTTCCATTCCTTTTGCCCCACATTTTATTGTTCACACAATTTCTTACATAATCTAACTACTTTCAATAGCAAGTTCAGCTGGTAATTTCAAGAAAAGCAGTTTTAACTTTAATAAATTGAAGAAATGCTAAGTAACTTTGCTTAAAACTTAAAGCCAGGAACAGATTAGGATTTTGTTCAAATGGTAGGTACATGAATCCATCGACAGCTCAAGATAGGACAAAAATCCTTAAAACTGGAAAACAAAGCCTGGAAGAAAATCAGCAATGTTTTAGTCAGAAGTCATAAAATGCTATTTCACCAGTTTTGTCTCATGTACTTAATCTGTCTTCTGTTGTGGTTCCATCTTCCTGGTTAAGTTCTGGGATATAATATTCAACCCCAGACTTGTCCCTATGATTAAGTTGGCCATTTTCTTAGTTTTTGAACTCTTATTCCTGTGTGTCTATGTTTAATTTTCCTGGTATAGCACTCCCTTGAGAACTTCTTGGAGATCTGATCTGGTGTTGGTAAATTCTTTCAGGTTTTGTTTATTTGAGAATGTTCTTGTCTTTTCTTCTCATACGAAGGATAATCTTGCCGGATACAGTATTCTTGGTTGAAATTACTTTTCCCTTAACACTTTGAATATATTTTTCTATTCTCTCCTCACTCGTGTTTTTTCTGATGAGAGGTTTGCTGTTATCCTGATGGGATATTCTTTGTAGGTAACTTGCCATTTTTCTCTTGCCAAGCTTAGTATCTTGTCTTTGTCTGTGGTTTTGGTCAGTCTGGCTATAATGTGTCTTGGAAAAGATCTTCTTGGGTTGATTCTATTGGGGGGGTCCTTTGTATTTCTTGGGACTGGATCTTTGAATGCCTCTCTAGGTTTAGAAAGTTTTCTTTCAGGATTTCATGGAATGGATTGTCAATGCCTTATGCATCTCTTCTCCTTCTGGGATGCCCATTATCCGGATGATATCTAGTATTTCTCATTTATTATTCTCATTTTTGGGGCAATTTTCTCAGTCTTTGTGATGGATTTTTCTAGGCCAGCCATTTTCTCTTCTATGTCTAAGATTTGATTTTCTGTATGATCTAGTCTCCTTTTAATACTTTCAAGGGATATTTTGACTTCCCGTATTATAGCCTTCATTTCTAACAGGTCCATTTGATTCTTTTTTAAAGTACATAATTCCTTTTAGATCTTGCAAGAATTTCCTCACCTCATGAAACTTGTCAGCTTCTTTCTTCTCCCTCTTCTGCAATTCATTGTCTCTCTTCTCTTCCATCTGTTAGCTTTGTCATTATGAATATTCTAAATTTTTTATCAGACATTTCCATGATTTCCATTGAACTGTCTGTGGATGAAGAGAAGTTATTCTTTTCCCTTGGAGGAGAGGTATTTTCTTGATTTCCCATATTTCTTGTGGTCCTGTGGTGATATCTAGTCATCTGATGGATGAGTTCCCTGTGTATTCTGATTATCAGTCTCTTATCTGAAGCACAGTTTACAAAAATTTTCTCCCATTCCAAGGGTTGTTGAATCACACTAATTACTGTGTCCTCTGCTGTGCAGAAACTTCTTAATCTGATGTAGTCCCACCTGTCTATTTGGGGGATTGCTGCTTGTATTTTGGGGATTTTGCTTAAGAAGTCTTTTTTTTACCCCAGTGTCTGCCAGAGTTTCCCCAGTGTTTTCCACCAGTAGTTTTATAGTTTGTGGTCTTAGGTTCATATCTTTGATCCACTTTGAGTTGGTTTTTTTAATGGTGACAGATAGGGGTTCAGATTCATCTTTCTGCAGGGGGATACCCAGTTTTTCCAGCACCATTTGCTAGAGAGATTTTCCTTTTTTCCACTAGTCTGGTACACTTTGTCAAAGATCAGTTTGCTGTATGTTTGAAGGTTTATTTCTGGGGTCTCTACTCTGTTCCATTGGTCCTCATGTCTGTTTTTGTGCCAATATCATGCTGTTTTGACTATCACAGCTTTGTAATATATTTTGGGATCAGGAAGTGAGATGACACTCACTCCACTCTTTTCGTGTAGGATTGCTTTGGCAATATGGGGTCTTTTATGGTTCCAGACAAATTCTGTGATTTTCTTTTCTGAAGAATGTCTCTTGTAATTTTATAGGGATTGCATTAAATATGTAGATTAAGGACCAGCAGTTGGCGTAACAGCTATGTCGCTGGACTCTCATGTAGTTGACTGCAGTTCAAGTCCCGGACCTGGTGGCTTAAACTAACAACGGGTGTGTGTACGTGCATGCCCAAGATCCCAAGAGGAGAAGGGATTGTGGTGTGGCCATCCTTCCTGGGGGGTGATTTCTCACTTTCTGTCTCTTTCTCTCTCTGTGTCTTTCTGGCAAGTACATGCATCCAATAATAAAAACCTCTCAAAAAAATTAAATAAATAAATAAATAAATGTAGATTGATTTGGGTAGGATTGCCATTTTAATTATATTAATTCTGCCAATCTGGGAACATGGGGTGTTCTCCCACTTTTTTGTGTCATTTTCTATTTCTTTCTTAAGATTTTCATAGTTTTCCTTATAGAGGTCTTTGACTTCCTTGGTTAGTTTTATTCTTAGGTATCTTATACTTTTTGTGGCTATGGTAAATGGGATTACTTTCTTCAGTTCTGTCTCTGTCTGCTTGTTTTTATATAGAAATCCTATAGATTTTTATAAATTAATTTTGGATCCTGCCACTTTGCTGTATGCATTTATTACTTCGAGAATTTTTTTCGTAGATACTATTGGATCTTCTATGTATACAATTATGTTATCTGCAAACAAAGATAATTTCAACTCTTCTTTACCTATTGAAATGCCTTTTATTTCTTTCTCTTGTCTGATCCCGTTGGCTAGGACATTCAGTGCTATAGTGAATAGGAGTGGAGAAAGTGGGCAGCCTTGTCTTGTACCACTTTTTAGTGGAATAGCTTTCAGCTTTTCCCCATTCAGTATAATGTTAGCCGTAGGTTTTTCATAGATGACTTTTATTATGCTGAGAAATAAACATTCTGTGCCGATTTTACTGAGGGTCTTACTACAGTTTTTATGCCCAGTAACTTTTTTTAATCCAAATGCCAGTGAAGGAATAAATACACAGTTTTACCCTGTGTTAAATGGAATATTAAGAGTATTATTCCTTTCTACCTCTTTTTCTATTTTCAGTGGTATGCAATCTGCATTAGTGATGTTGGAGATTATGAAGGCATCAAGGTTAAGATTGCAAATGCCTACATTATCAAGGAGCATTTTGAGGTACTAATGAATTATTAAAGTTTATGAATTTATAAAGTCAATATATTTCTGAATAGATTCCTACTTCAGTTTTCTGTTGCTATATAGCAAACCCTATAACCTACTGACTTAGAGCAATAACAGACAGTTTTTTGTTGTTGTTTGTTTGTTTGTTTGTTTTGAGAAGTTTTTGCTATACAGCAGGGGCGCTCGCCAGAAAGAGAGAGAGAGACAGACAGAATGCAAGAAATCACTCCACCCATCACCCTCTGGGGGGGAATGGCCACGCCGCAATCCCTTCCTCTCCATTCTTCTCTTGGGATCTTGGGCATGCACACACACGTGCTCGGCATGAGTTTAAGCCACCGGGTCTGGGACTCGAACCACAGTCAACTACATGGGAATCCAGCAACATAGCCATTGCACCAACAGATAGGTTTTATTTCTTGAAATTTCGTGATTTAATTGAGTTTAGTGGTGCTTCAGCTTTGCTTGATATAGCTGAGATCATTCACATGGACCCTCAGCTGGGACTTGAACATCTCAATGGCCTCTCATCTATGAGAGTCTCAAACATTGTCTTTTTAATATCTAATGCTTTAGCCCAAGCTTCTTCACAGCATGGTACTTGGCATCCAAGTGTGAGCTTTTCAAGGGAAATAATAAAATGTCCGAATGTTTATAAAGCTTCTGCTTACATCCTATTTGGTAATAGCCTATATAACTACATGAGTAGGTCCACACAGGTAGGAGTAGAGAAGGGACTAATCACAGAAAGCCCCAAATACTAGAAAGTATAGTCCAATGTCATAGTCTAAAACAACTGTCATACCACTATCAGCAGTAATAATTGTATTTAATAGAATGATCTCTTTATGTGTTCTGTGTGTGTGTGTTTGTTTCATTATTTCCCCTAAAGTTAATTTTCCTTTTGGTAGTAAACTCTTCCTTAGGTGCTAAAAATCCTGTAGGAGTTTGTATATTTTATGACATGCATACTCTGTATTATTTTACTCATAAAAAATGGAGTGGAAAGCTCGGCCCATAGGTTCATGTTTAAAGGAGCCAAATTCTACATGGCCAATGATGATTTGAATATAGGCTCCAGCAGCTTGAAAAACACCAGGTGCGTAAGCATGCATACCTAAAATCCTGACAAGATGAAGAAATACAGGGGAAGGGATTGTGTGGTGTAATCATGCCACATTGAGAGTATTTTTTTCCCCCTCTGTCATGTTTTCTCCTTCCCTCCCTCCACTCCTCTCTCTCTCTCGCTCTGTTTGACTGTCTCTGGTAAGTACACATGCCCTCTGGAAATGAAGAAAAACCAGCATATTTATTTATCTTTTAATATTGTAGACTATATAAAAAAATATGGGCCCAGCAAGTGGCATGGAGGTTAGGGGCCTGAGTCCCACATGGCCAGTTACAAGGCTCGAGGCCTGGACCCAGTCTCTTGAAAATCATGCCAGGTGCATGTGCTGGCATGTGTGCCCAAAATCTCAAGAAGACTGGAAGAGGAGGGATTGTGTTGTGGCCATCCCCCCTGTCGGGGTGACTTCTCACTTTCTCTCTTTCTCTTTCTCTGGAGAGCACACATGCCCTATAGCAAAACTTAAAAACAAAATAACAAAGGAAGAAAATGTGATGGAAACATTCACAAGGAAGAGTGCTGGATGTTCTATTTAATAGCTTTTCAGATATTTTATGGTTACAGATGTTTTATGTTTATAGCCCAGTTGTTGCATATAGTGACTTGTGAGAAAAATCATCGGACTGACAATTAGGAGACCTAGTTTTTTATTTAGACATCTATAGTGATAGATTTATTTAATAATTTATTTTCTAAAAATAATTTTTTTAGAGGTTTTTGCTATAAGGGCGCATGTACTCGCCAGACAGAGAGAGACAGAGAGATAGAAAGCGAGAAATCACCCCCCAGGGGGGATGGTCACGCCGCAATCCCTTCTCCTCCATTCTCCTCTCGGGATCTTAGGCAAGCACCATGCGCCTGGCAGGAGTTTTAAGACACTGGATCCGGGACGCGAACCGCGGTCGACTACGTGGGAGTCCAGCGACATAGCCATTACACTAACTGCTGGTTCCCAGCCCAATAATTTACATTTTATAATTTAATTATTTACATCTTTTACATTTTAAGATCTTTGAAACCAGATTGCATTATACAATCAAAAATACCTTACAATGTAATTGGTATTTTTACTTATGAATGGTTTAAAACATTATGGTGTGTCATACCATTTTTGGCACCTTTATTAATAATTACTTTATTTCACCTTCAGTGAAATATAGTAATTTGCTCAGTGGCATTAGATCAATCACCTAATTTGTACCTTAGGATTTAGGAAAATATGACATAACTGCCAATATGAATAGTAAAACATTGTAGATATTATTAGATATATTTGTCAGAAAAATCATGATATATTTTTTTCTGTGCAGAAATGCATCATGACTTTTCTGATGACCCAATAACATGTACTTTTTATTAAACAGTGAAGGCAATAGATTACTAAAAACTTTTTATTAAGAGAGATTTTTACTATAGGGAACATGTGCTTGCCAGAGAGACAAGAGAGAAACAGACAGACAGAGAGAAATCACTCCCTGGGGGCATGGCCACACCACAATCCCTTCTCTTCCATTTTCTTTTTGGTATTTGGGGTACTCATACACATGTGCCTGTTGTGAGTTTCAAGCCTCCAGGTCCAGGATTCAAACCATGTTCAACTATGTGGGAGTCAGTGACGGTAACCACTATGCCGTCTGCTAGTCCCTAAAAATATTTTATATAGGCTTTTAAATGTATATAAGTAAACATACTAAAAGTGATAATAGTTAGTATTCATATACTAAAGACATTTTTACTATTTCTCTTTTGAATTCCATTATCACATTTAAAGCCATAAGGAATCTTTAAATAGTTTTTGAAAGATAGATTAATGGTGGGAAAGATTATAAAAAGAAAGGACTTGATTCTTCTATAAGAAAATTAATTCCTCAGGGTATCCGTTGTATGTGAATTAAATTCTCTCCCATGCCCCTAGAGTGGTACTGTTGATATCTCCTTACCATGAGAAACAATTTTTTGTGTGCTTAATTTTCTACCAGAACTTCCAATTTGGACAGGCTATTTAGAGTAAATTTTGTAGAAATGGTTTAAAGTATAATTTTCTTTTTTTGTTAGTTTTTGTTGTAGGGCCCATACACTTACCAGACAAAGAGAAAATGAGAAATCAACTACCAGGAGGAATAGCCACACCGTAGTCCCTTCTCGTTAGTTCTGCTCTTGGGATCTTGGGCATGTATGCACATGTGCCTGGCATGATTTTTCAAGCTGCATGTCCTAGACTCAGACCACAGAGTTAGCCATGTGGGACTTAACCTCCATATCACCTGCTTGCCCCTATAATAAATTTTTCTATTAGTCATATTACTATAGTTGTCCCTCAGTATCTGTGGGTGATTATTTGCAAGACCCTTCTCAGATACCAAAATCCAAGGATGCTCAGGTCCCTTATATAAAATGTTAAGAGTATTTGCATATCACCTACATACTTCCTCCCATATACTTTAAATAATCTCTAGATTATTTATAATACCTAATACAATGTAAATATAATGTAAATAGGTATTATACTGTATTGTTTAGGAAATGACAAGAAAAAAAGTCTGTACCTACACAGTACAGATGCAACCAATTTGTTTCCCCCAAATATTTTTGATCTGCAGTTAGTTGAATTCGTGGATATGGAACCTACAGATATGGAGAGTCGACTGTATATTGAAGGAGAAGTAAAAATTAGGTTAGTGCTGATTCTAACCTGTATTTTATTCTAAAGAATTATTTTATTTATCTTTATTTATTGATTTTAATTTGACCAGAGAGGGATAGTGAGAGAGAGAGAGGGAGAAAGTGAGAAAGTAAGCCACAAGGTCCAGGACTCGAATTGTGGTCGGCCATGTGGGAGTCCACCATCCTGAACCACCACTCCACCTGCTGGCCCCTCTGACCTGTATTATTAGCACAAGACTTCTGCCAAGTCATATTTGGTTAGCTTTATTTAGCTATTATTACATGTGTTATAAACACTACTAACAATCAGTTTCAGTAATAAGTGCCTGGTATTGTTTTATAAAAAGTGAAAAGAGTAATAGCAGTATAGAAGATATCACTATATTAAGCACCTTGTCTTACTTGCTCATTTAATTTAACCACAATCCTATGTGATGGGCATATTTTCTCCATTTCATAAAAGAAATAACTCAGCTGTGGCAAGAATATAGAGTGCCAGTGTCAACATAGTATAAGACCATTGAGGTGTGATTTGAACCTTAAGTTTTGGTTCAGAGACCCTGCTTTTTACCATTATAAATATATGAGAATTATATCTCACATATTACCAAAGTGAAAATGTGTGTCCACAGAAAAGCAAAGCAAAGAAGTCTTAATTTTTAAGAGAAGGTTTTTATTTTTAATAGGATCAACATCTGTGAGATTTCCATAGTAGTTTTCAACAAAATAATGGATAAAAGGAGTAATGTCTTAAAGATAGTTACCTGTAGTTTATATTTTACACTAATTTACAAAGTAAGTGGTAATTACAGACATTTTATCAACATATTTTACACTGTACATAATTAGTCTATCAATTCTATAAAAATAGTTATTTTTCCTTTGGTAAATACAAATGGGGTAGTTGAACAAAATCTGTATACAGAAAGAGACTTACTAAAGTTAACGTTACCTTGGCCCTTTCTCTGAGGCTCAGTCTGTCGTGTTCTGAACTACACGTTAGAAGCCACGTGGCTGGTTGCTGCTTCACATCTTTGGGCCAGGTGACCTGAAAGGCACTGGGCATGTGCAAGTACCCAAGACCCAGACAAGCTGGAGAGCTGAGGGAAGGGGATTGTAGAGTGAACAGACCCTGTTGAGGCCCTTCTCTCTCTATGCAGATATGTTCTCTATCACAAATAAAACTTTAAAAAAATGATACGCTTTTAGTTCTTCTAAGAAGGAACACTTTTTATTAAGTATTCATCTGGGATTTGTCAAAAAAGGACTTGCTATTTTTCCCCTTAATCTGGAAGAAATATTGAGAATGTAGATTATTACTGTTTATAAAATTAGATTCATTTATGTATTTTCTGTTGTTTCTTATCTTGATAGACCCTATAGTCCATTTCTGAACCTAAAAAAATAGTAGCCTTAGTACAAGTCATTAATAGTGTATTGTACTGAACTTAAGCAATGAAAGATTCAGGGGGAAGACTAGTGTTAATAAAGAATTAAAGTCCAAAGTTGCATTTTTATTATACTTTTTTAAATCATGGGCTCATCTAACATAGTAAAGCACTTACTAGTGTTTAGAAAGTGATTGATTTTTCTCATTTCTTGTTAGAAAGCAATTGAACTAAACCCTAAAGATGCTACCTCAATTCACCTCATGGGTATCTGGTAAGAAAATCTCTTTAAATATTTCAGTAGTATTTAGTGATCATATAGCTTAGTTCATATATAAATATTTTATAGTATATAAATAAGATAAAATATTTTCAAATATTAGAACATACTAAATTTTATGGTGATCATGTTAAACAGGTCATTTAGAAACAGGTACTTAGGCTAAAAAGGCCTTAAAAATGTTTAAGACCTTTGAATTCCCTTTGTTTGGAAAGCCTACTCTCATTTATCATGCTAAATTAAATTGGATTAATCTTAATCATACTACTATCCATGGGGATATATTACAAGATCCCCAGTAGAAGTCTCAACTTATGCTATGTTTTGTTGGATCTGATAACCAGAAAGGCTGCTAAATGATTCATAGGTGTGCTGCATATTCAGTGTGGATACACTGGACAAAAGGATGACTTACATCCTGGGTAGTAGTACTGTGGGAACGGGACTATTACTAGTACGATGAGAATAGAACATATTAGATTCTGTCACACTACTCAGAATGGTGCTCATTTTAAAACGTATGAATTATTTCTGGACTTTTTCATTTAATATTTTGAGAGATGGTTGATTTGGGTAACTGAAACCACAGAAAGAAAAAGTGGATAAGAGGGTCATGCTGTAATAGAGTAGGTTTTTTGTATTTTCAAAGAGGGTCCTTGTATTTTCAGAGTGTGTCAAATAGTCTTCATTTATCTGAGCTGCAATATAAACTGATTTTTAGTATTTTTCCTTTTTTTTTTCATAGAGAGATTTTTGCTATAGGAGTGTGCACTTGCTGGAGAGCACGTGCATGTTGGGGGGACTTGGGTATTTAGGCAAGGTCTCACCGTGATGTGGTTGTGCTGCTGCAGCCTCCTGAGCAGCTGGGATTAAAGTCATGTCAGTGCACCTGGCTTTTTCTGTTAGACTGGAAATAAAACCAGGTGCTTCCCGGTGACCTCAGCCTGCCCAACTAGCATCCAGAGCATGCTGCCAGAGGTGTTGTCTGAATTTTTCTTATGTAAAAAATAGGAAGTAATGGTGCTATCTCATTCAGTTGGCATAAGGAGCAGATGAGGAGACCCTGGATTGTTGGGAAAGTCACAACGTGTTTTTCTGTAAAAAAAAAAATGCATCATGACTTTTCCGACAACCCAATAATTATATAGCCCACCATGAACACATGGCCCAAATGAACATTCAGTGGGAGATGATAGATTACATTATCATTACTTACTATTTATATTTAATCACAAAGTGCATCCCAACTAGTGGACCAGTGTAAGTCAGTCCCTAGATAAGTCAATGTGAATATTAACCTGCTGGATATCACGTAAAGTGAAGTACCAACTGTTAAGGTCTATAATAGAAGAACCCCTTTATAATATCTATTAAGATACTTAGTTCCCCTTAAGAGAAAAAAGGAAGATTCGATTTGAATGTATAATGTTACTTCATTTCCCTATAGGTGCTATACATTTGCTGAAATGCCTTGGTATCAGAGAAGAATTGCTAAACTGCTATTTGCAACTCCTCCTAGTTCCACATACGAGGAGGTAATGTGAAGTCTGTCGTTAGCACCAATTTCTTAACTAGAGCACCAGTCTGTAGTGTCCACACATAGGAAGCTCTAATTCAGGCAGGGACTTGAACAAGTTCTTAATGATCCAGCTCAGTTATCTTATCACAAAGGTGTAATACTATTCATAACTGGTGAGCATTTTGTTTTGTTTTTAATTTAGGTGAGTAGCTGATAATTCTGGTGTATCTTCAAGCTAAAATGGCACAAGGCTAAAGTCTCCTTTCATTTCTTGTTTAACATCTATAGCATACAAGTCATGAAGCAGAATAAGAAATACAGCCACTACCCAGCCCGGTTTAGGTACATTCTACATAATAATACAGTCATTTAGAAAAATAAAACACATTTGAATAAAGTTGATAAATAACTGTTGGGTTGTTGGAAAAGTGATGACTTTTTTAAAAATCTTTTTCTCTGCAAAATCCATCATGAATTTTTCAACAACCCAATATATTTATAACCTTTTATTAGAAAAACGGGAGGCCAACCAGTGGCAGCTGGACCCACACGGCCAACTGCTTGGTTTAAGTCCCACACCTGGTGACTTTAAAAACATACCAGGCACATGTGCATGCTTGTCCAAAATTCCAAAAAGAGTAAGAGAGGGAAAAGGAATTATAGTGTGACCGCCCCCCCAGGAGGGATGTTTTCTCACCTCCAAACCCACAAACCCCAACCTCCTGTCTCTCTCTCAAAAGTGCACCCACCCTCTGGCAAATTAAAAGCAAAATGAAACAAAACAAACAAAAGAGGGTGGGAGGTGAAGGGCTCATATCCCCTTTTATTTTCAAGGCTCTTTGCTCTTCCTGTTAAATACAGTTGGAAAGGGATCATTTTGAGTTTACTTATCACAGAATTTTCAGAGTAAGGAAACAGACCATCAGAAGACCTGTCCCAATACTTGTATCATAATGAGGAGCTATTTTCATCCCTTTGGCAAGCTGACATGTAGAATATGATGTAAAGAGTATTGGACCAGAGACCAGCAGATGGGTAATGGTTACATCCCTGGACTCCCACATAGTCCACTGCTTAAAGCTCATGCTGGGTGTGTGTGTTCGTGCCCAAGATCCCGAGAAGAAAATGGAGGAGAAGGGATGCGGCGTGGCCATCCTCCCTGGGGGGGTGATTTCTCACTTTCTGTCTCTGTTTCTCTGTCTGTGGTGAGCACACATACCCTATAGCAAAAAAAAAAAAAAAAAAAGTATGGGGCCAGCCTATAGGATAATGGTAAAGAAAACCAGACCCCATATAACCCAAACTGTGGTTTAGATCCCGGCCCCAGTGGCTTGAAAAACAGTGCCCAAAACCCTGATGGGATGGAGACGTAGAGAAGGGACCGCAGCATGGCTATGGCCCATTGGGAGGAACTGTTTCTCTCTGTCTTTTTCTGGTAAGCACACATGCTTTCTGGGAATTTAAAAAACAAAACAAAAAATAGCTGTGTAATTAGAACACATTAAGGAAATACTCATTAAAAAAATGCATTTATTAAAAAAAAATAATGCATGGGAACCAGCAGATGGTATAATAGTTACATCACTGAACTCCTACATAGTCAATGGTGGTTCAAGTCCCGTTAAAATTTAAAACTAATGCCAGACATATGTGCATGCGTGTCCAAGACCCCAGGAGAAGAGAGGAGGAGAAGGGATTGCGGTGTGGCCATCCCCCATTGGGGGGTGATTTCTCACTTTCTGTCTCTCTCTGTCTCTCCAGCAAGAGCATGCATCCTATAGCAAAAATCTCTTTTTAAAAAAAATACATTCTAAGGAAAAAACTAGATATAATCAAAAATTGACTTTATGCAGTGATACACAGATTGTACTAGTAAACTTTTAAAAGTCCATTATTGTTAAAATTCCTATGTATAATGCTACTATGAATCTGAAACTGTTCATTATTTTGGTCCCACTTAAACTACTGTATTTAAAAAAAATTTACTAGAGGGCCAGCAGATGGTGTAGTGGTTAAAGTGCTGGACTCCCATATGGCCAACTGTAGTTCGAGTCCCAGACCTGGCAGCTTGAAACTCATACCAGGTGCGTGTGCATGAGTGCCCATAATCTTAAAAGAATAGAGGAGAACCCCCACCCCCGCTCCAGGGGGGATGGCCATGTATGCAGTCAACCCTACTATAACAAATTAATTGTATCTCTAAGAAATCAAATGTCTGAACCAGCAGATGGTGTAATGGTTACGTCACTAGACTCCAATGTAGTCAACCATGGTTCCAGTCTAAGACTTGGCAACTTAAACTCATACCAGGCACATGTGCACATGTGCCCAAGATCCCAAGAGGAGAATGGAGGAGAAGGGATTGCCATCCTCCCCTGGTGGGGTGATTTCTCACTTTCTGTCTCTCTGGTGAGTGCACGTGCCCTATAGCAAAAATCTCTCTTAAAAAAAATAAGAAAGAAAGAAATCAAATGTCATTAGATAATGCATTATAAAACAGCAGTTTTGGGCTAGCTGATGGCATAGCGATTAAGGCACTAGATTCCACATGGTCAACCATGCCATCTGAGTTCTGGACCCAGAGGCTTGAAAAACACGCCAGTCACGTATGCGTGTGTCCCCAGAATCCCGAAAACAGGTAGAAATGGAGAAGAGACTATGACGTGATCATTCCCCAAGGGGTGCCTTCTCACTTTATTTCTCTGTCTCTGTCTCTGTGTCTCTAGTGAGTACATGCACCCTCTGGTAAATTTTTTTTTTTTGAGATTTTTGCTATAAGGCGCAGGTGCTTGCCAGAGAGATTGGTAGCAAGAAATTACCCTCTGGGGGGAATGGCCATGTATGCAGCAATCCCTTCTCCTCTATTATCTTGGGATTATGGGCACTCATGCATGCGCACCTGGTATGAGTTTCAAGCTCCAAGTCTGGGACTTGAACTGTGGTCGGCCATATGGGAGTACAGCATTTTAACCACTACACCATCTGCTGGTCCTCTGGTAAAGTTTTTTTTTTAAATACAGTAGTTTAAGTGAGACCAAAATAATGAACAGTTTCAGATTCATAGTAGCATTATACATAGGAATTTTAACAATAATGGACTTCTAAAAGTTTACTAGTACAATCTGTGTATCACCGCATAAAGTCAATTTTTGATTATTTCTAGTTTTTACTAGTGGACCTTGTTATGATTTAAGAGAAAAGTCAGAATAACTGAGTTACACATGATTATGTTCTTATTTTTTTTTTTGAGGTTTTTGCTATAAGGTGCGTGCGCTCGCCAGACAGACAGAGACAGAGAGATAGAAAGCGAGAAATCACCCCCCAGGGGGATGGCCACGCCACAGTCCCTTCTCCATTCTCCTCTCAGTATCTTGGGCGGGCACGCACACACGCACGGCATGAGTTTTAAGCCTCCGGGTCCGGGACACAAACCGTAGTCGACTACGTGGGAGTCCAGGGACATAGCCATTACGCTAACTGCTGGTCCCTGATTATGTTCTTTCTGCTCTGCACATAATGCTGGTTTTTTGGTATAAGTTCCAAACAGCAACCCCAATACCAGAAGTGGTCCACATATTAGAATCCTGTCATCTAGTGGTTTATAAGTGTTATGGTCATTTGGCGAATTTAATTCTGTCAAATAACTGGCCATTATTTAAAGATAATTTACTTCCCTTTATTTAATGTAGGGATAGGTCTTTAAAAATTGTTTTTAAATATTGTATCTGTTTTAATCCTTCTCATATTCGGGTTCTCTGTTTTTAACAGGCCTTAGGCTACTTTGAAAGGGCAGAACAAGGTAAAATATTTTTGATTTTATATATAATATAGTTACAATTGTGTGAGTGCTGAATATATAATAAAACTTTTTAAAACAGATGTTTTCCATTCTATTACAGTTAACTTCATTTTTAAAATAATTGTAAAACAGTTTTTACAGTCTTTATTCAGTAAAGATCACCTGAATAAGAAACAGACCACTGAATTTGGAGCTGCAGTTCTGAAATGATCTTTTATTTGACGTAATTCAGTCTTCCTTTTTTGTGAAGAGGCTCTTCCAAGTTAACTGTTCCTGTTCAAGATTGCATAGCTAATCAGAGGCATATAAATGATAAACTCAGGTTTTAAACCAGGCCAGTTTTTGTTTTGTTACATATACATTTTTTTGTAAAATAGAGTTTGTTGTTATTGTTTTGAAAAAGTGAATAGCCACACAAAACTGTCACCAGTTCATCCTGTATTATTTTTTAATATTAATGACACTAAACAGGAAAGGAACATAAGCATATGTTAGTTACCAATTATATTATTAAAAACCAGTGCAAATATATTTCTTTAAAATCTGGTCAAATGAAAATTAAGATGGTGTTTTATTAAACTTGAAAACCTATAAATACGGACTTATTCAAATGCTTTCATGATAGCAAAGTAGGTTTTTTGTTTTGTTTTGCTTTGTTTTAAAGTTTATTTATATATTTAATGAGCAACAGAGACACAGACACCCTTGACAGCATCGTGCCACATCACACTTCCCCACCCTCTCCAAGTCAGCCATGATTACACACATGCCTGTGGGCACACCCGTGTGTTCAGATCAACCTAGAATGTAAACCCTGGCCTTCCCACATGCTTCCAGTGTTGTGCAGGGTTGCCCTACTGCCTTACCACCTGCCCACTGGCTGGACCAGAAAGCAGGTTTTTTTGTTTTGTTTCGCTTTTCTGCTATAGGGCACATATGCTTTCCAGAGGAGACAGAGGTAAAGTGAGAAATCACCCCCTGGGGAGATGGCCATGCTGCAGTCCCTTCTCCTCTAGTCTCCTCCCGGGATTTTGTGCAGGCACACACAGGCCTGCCCAGCATAATTTTTAACCTGACAGGTCCGGGACTTGAACTGTGGTCAACTATGTGGGAATCCAGCACCCTAATCATCTTAAGAAGGGTTGGGGTGTGGCCATCTCCCTGGGGGGTGATTTTTCACTTTCTGTCTTTCTGTCTCTGTCCAGCAAGCGCACACGCCCTATAGCAAAAATCTCTTAAATTTTTTTGTATTTATTATTGCCTTCCTTTGATACCTTCTCAAGATCATAGTATCAATATTTTCTATACATGAATATAAATCTAGGAATGAAATTTTTGAAAGGATTTAAAATAATAATTACAGACTGAAAATAGGACCTTAGAGACGTAAGAGAAAAGCACTTGTCTTGCCCTCATGCAACTGAAATTACCCTTGGTAACTCTAGTCATCCCTCAGGCTTTACCTGAGAGGTCACATCTCTAGGTTGCCTTCCCTTATGGTCCCAATCTGGTTCAGAAACACCTGTGTTCTCAGTACCTGTAACCCCTCCTATGATGGCCCCCTCAGGAATATTTGTTTAGTGTGTAGGACTGTAAAGGAAGGTGGGGACTCTGTCTTTCTGGCTGTTGTGTTTTCATTACCAAAAATAGTTGGCAGATTCCATGAATGACTGGCTAAAGAGATGAATAAATGAATATACTTAACGCCAAGGAAACTTCAGTGTATCAAAATGGCATCACACAGATACGTATAAATGAAGTAAAACAGTTTTTGGTTAGGAGCAAATGAAGTTAGTCATAAACTGTAGGCAGGAAATAGACTTTGAACATAGGGGATCCTAGATTGTTAGGAGGAAGCTGTGAAGAATTAATGAAGACAGTGAGTTCATGGGCTTTTTTGTTTATACTTTTCTGTCAGCCAAGAATATCCTCCACTTTTTCTATTATAGTCTTACTTACTCCCCAAACACACCCAGCTGTAATCTGTTAGTAACTTTTTTCTTTCGTTTCTCATGGTACTTTTAAGTTTGTACATCAAGTGAAGCATTCCTTTCATGATCATATTATATTATGTTTGTGTTTCTCTCCTTTTCATTATAAATTCCAAGAGCAGAGAATTTGTTTCTTCCTCTAAGTCTAGTTGACATTCAGTTAAGTTTTGATTAAGTGTATATATATCATTTTATTCACTCATTCAGCAAATGTATTGTGAAGGTATATAATGTTCCAGGTACTCTTGTAGGCATTTGGGATATGGCAGGTAACAAAACAGATTAAAAAGAATATTGCTATCAGGAGCTTTTCTTTGATAAAATAGATACTTTATAAGATAGTCATGAAATCAAGAAATGTGTATAATATACTGCTTAGTACATAGATGTTCAATGTTAATTATTTTGCAAATACAGATGCTTTTCAGCTTAGAATGAGGTTATGTCTCGATAAAGGCATTATTAAGTTGAAAAAACATTTAAGTATCATAGCATTTAAGCTATCAAGTGTCATAGCTTAGTGCAGAACATTAAATGAGCTCAGAACACTTAAGAACACTTAAATTATCTTAGAGTTGAGCAAGATTTTCTTTAAAAAAAAATGTTATAATACAATATCCTATATCCTGTACTGAAAGTGAGATTCAGAGTGATTGTTTAGGTACTTAAAGTACAAATCCTAATGAGCATAAATTGCTTTTATACCATTGTATAGTTGAAAAATCCTAAATTGAACCATGGTAAATCAGGTACCATCTGTTATTTGTTTTGATATGAACAGTTGAGAAGAGAATTCTAGTGATCCTAATCAATTATGTATTATACAAATTTATTATTGAAATTGAGACCAAAAAAATTAAACCTTCAATAAAAGAGCAATATTTTTTCATCTGAGATAATTCTTTCTTTCTTATGTGCAGTGGATCCAAACTTCTACAGCAAAAACTTGCTTCTTTTAGGAAAGACATACTTGCACCTACACAACAAAAAGCTCGCTGCTTTCTGGTTATCGAAAGCCAAGGACTATCCAGCACACACAGAGGAGGATAAACAGGTAAAAATACCTCCAATAAAGTAAGGCAGCTAGGTTTTCATTGAGGCACTGTTAAGTAAAGGTGAATTAAAAACTGCTTTAAAAGTAATTACCTAAATGCCTAATACTGCTAAAAACTATAGTGTTCATTTAAAATGTGAATTGACATTTCCATTATACAGAAATGTTTAGTTACTATCATCAAATAGGTGTTATGAACTGCTTGTTCCATTACAGAATTGTTCCTATATAACAGATCAAATATTTCTAAAACATAAAAGTAATGTCGACTAAAGTGGGAGAGTTTTCTTTGAGTTTCATCCAGTCAATGTCAAGAAATTTGATTCTTAACACTGTTTTACTGTGGTTTTTAAAAATTCGTAGAAACCACAGTTCACTTTATAAACCTAAGTTTTAAAGCTAAACTCTAAGCTGTACTGTTTATATCATAGCACATATTTTTCCATTTTAGGTACAAACAGAAGCAGCTCAACTCCTTGCAGGTTTCAGTGACAAGAACTGAGAACTTTACAAAGATGAAACATGAAATATTTAATAAACATTGTCTTTTCTTTTAATTAACTGTCCTATGGCTGTTAATCCTTTTAATGCTATGATCCTTTTGCAGGTTAAATAAACATTCTGGGTTTCTTTACAAATGAGGTGAATGACATAAATTGCTCTAATAGTGGAGGACATCTCCATGGCTCAGGCAGGGAGATTATTTTGCATCTGGGACAACAGTAGTACAAAGACTATCCATGTCAGGATTACAGGAGATCACAGGGAAAAAGAAGTGGCATATGGGAAAGTGGATTTTCAAGTTGGATTAATTTACTTTGAGATCTTGCAAAGATGGTACAGTGAAAGGTGGTTAGGATGTTGAGGATTCTTGGTATAAAGTAGTTCAATGATGTATCTTGGAGCCACCTGCATGAGGACAGAACTTATCAGAAGACTGAAAATGGTTTCCTTTTTAAAATATGTAGTCTTCACAAGTGGACTGAATCTGTCATTAGACAGTGCCCAACTTTTGTTCTCTGAAGTGAAAGGAACACAGAATTGAAGGGTGAAATGGAAGTTAAAATATTTGGACAATTTACATATCTGAGGCTAGGCTACCACCATTCCAAATCTTATTTCTTAAAAAGAAGTTATCAGGACCAGCAAATGGCATAATGGTTACATTACTGAACTCCCATGTTGTCAGTTCGAGTCCCACAGTTCGAGTCCCTGACCCGGTGGCTTGAAACTATGCCAGGTCCATGTGCTGTGCGTCCACAATCCAGAGAGGAGAGCAGAGAAGGGGTTGTGGCGTGGCCATCCCCCCCGGGGGATGATTTCTTGCATTCTGTCTCTCTGTCTCTGTCTTTCCGGCAAGCTAAGTGCCCCATAGCAAAAATCTCTCTTAAAATAAAAAAAAAATATATATATATATATATATCTTGAATGCTGCTTAGGTCTTTCTGAGACTGTTGTAGGTGGATTTTTTTCCCCAAAGGATCTGTGAATCATTACAGTGAACTGTGCTGATATCTGCTGTTTATTTTATCATGTAAATTTTCAATCAAAATGGAAATGAAAAGTTCTGGTCTCTGTATACAGATCTCTCAGACTCAACAATAATTCATCTTTTGCTGCTTTTCTATATATGTGCATATCTCTTCATGTCTGTATTTCTAGGCCCATAAAGCTAACTGCAGATAACATTTTACCCCAGAAATATTCTTGCATGCATTTTCTCAAAATAGGGACATCTTTCTAAACAAACACAATTCCATGACCACAACTGAAGTCATTTTCTCTAAAATCACCTAATATTTAGGTATATTCAGATGTCCTCAGTGTCCCACGATATCTTGGGGGAAGAAACAAACAAACAAAAACAGAAATAAAAAATCATATATTTGATTTGCTATTTACTTTCTCTTACTCTAGAAACACTTCACCTTTTTATTACAACATTAACTACTGACTTTTTGAAGAGGCCAGGCGAGTTCTTAGTCATTCCAGATTGGTCAAAATGACACCACTTTTAGAACTAGTTTCCATCTAACTTTACTTTCAGGGACTATAATATGTATTAGATCTTTTCCTGATTTTTATTATTTTTCCCTAATTGCTTTTTTAACTTTCCTAGCTCTTTTCATTTCTATCTTCTATTTCTCTTACTTTATCTCTGGGTACATGTATTCTTTCTTCAAAACTTTATAATTGTTCTTTCTGAGATGGTTTTGTTTTCCTTTAGTTTTTTTTTTTTTCCCCAATTTAATTCAGCAGCCATTTCACATCCTGTTGTTTGTCCAGTCTTGAGTTTTTATATTTCGACATACAGATTTTGAAGCTCATAAGCAAGGTACAGGCCTTTTCCATCATCGCAAAACTCCCTTTATAGTCACATCTGCCTACCACTTCGCCCCCACAATATTTCTAACTCTCGAGTTGTCAGAAAAGTCATGACTTTTTTTTTCTGGTTTTCTATGCAGAGCCTTAACTGCCATGACACCTGCTGGCCACCAGGGGTCACTTTCTTTTCTGAGGTGTTTTTTTTTTTTTTTTTGCTATGGGGCAGTCAAAGAGAGACAGAGACAGAGAGCAAGAATCATCCCCTGGGCAGGAGAGGGATGGCCATGACAAATCTCTTCTCCTTTTTGGATTTTGGGCACGTATGCACATGTGCTTGGCATGAGTTTCAGCCACTGGGTCCAGGACTCAAACTGTGGTCAACCACAATCGAGTCTAACACCTTAACCACTATGCCACCTGCTGCACACCCCACAGGTTAAAGATACCTGGCACTATATTGGGTTGTCAGGAAAGTCATGATGCATTTTTGCACAGACAAACAGAAAAATACATCATGACCTTCCTGATGTTCTAGTAGTTGGGCACAAACCACCTAGTCTAGTTTTTAGGGTAGGAAGAACTGGATGCTAGTTGATGCTAGCAGGGAAAAATATTTTAACCTTTTCACTTTCAACTGCATAGAAACTACAGGAATAAAAACAAAGTAGGTCCAGTCAAGGTAGTATGCACTGATAGAAACTGCTACTTTGCAGGCCAAGTCCACATGGGGACCCTGGATTTGATCCCTGACCCACCATAAACGCAAGGCATGCTGACACACGCCTTGTAGTCCTAGGTGCTCGGGAAACTAAAGTAGGAGGATCGTGAAGTAGCAAGACTTTATCTTAAATAAAACAGGGACCAGCAGTTGGCATAATGACTATGTCGCTGCACTCCCATGTAGTTGACTGTGGTTCAAGTCCTGGACCTGGCAGCTTAATCTCACGCTGGGCAAGTTTGCATGCATGCCCAAGATCCTGAGAGAAGAATGGAGAAGAGACTGCGACATGGCCATCCCCCCTGGGGGGGGGGTGATTTCTTGCTTTCTGTCTCTCTTTCTGGTGAGCGCACGTGCCCTATAGCAAAAACCTCAAAAAAATGAAAAAAAAAAATGTGAAACAAAAAACCCCTCAGGTAGCCTTTCCCTGAAAGATAAACATCTGATTGATGAAATAGTGATGATCCATTCTTTTGGTTCAGTTTATTGGTGGTGGTGGGGAGAGTGTCACCAAAATGAAGTAGCAATATGAATCTGTCTCTAAGCCTCCCTCTCTTACCTCCTATTTCCTTATAAACTGTGTTAAATAAAGCACAGTGAACTGGACACTTCTAATTTCTTCATGGCTGGTCCACCACAACAGGGAAAAAATGACAGAGGCGGTCACACTTTTCCAGGCTTTCTGACTGCCACTAAGTAGACAAATGAAGACAGCTCCGCCTATAGGTCTGGATATCTATAATTGAGCTTCAAAGGTGGAAGGAAGTTCGATGAATTCTCCAAACTATTGCACTGTCAGAAGAGTCGTGACATAATTTTCTATATTTTTTCAAAGGTTGTTTATTTATGTAAAAAACAAGATCAATTGATATATATTGCCTGCTTTGATAACCTGCCATCTTTCAGTGAGCTTCATAATTCCTCGTTCATAGAAGGACCTGTCTTTATCAGCAAAAAAAACTGAACAAGGTGCTGATTTACAGCCTTCTCTGAATAGAACGATGCACAATGCAAGGAATTTTGAAAAGAGTGAAACAAGTGAAAGTCTGATGGTGCAAGGTCAGGTGAGTATGATCCCATCCAAGCTCCAGTAAATTCTGACAGGTGACCAAATGTGTGTGATCTTGCACTGACATGATGGAACACAACTTCTTTACAATAAATGAGCTCTGGACAATTCTGGACAATAAATTTGTTGAAACTGTCCAATTGCCAACAGTACACATTCAAATTGATTGGTGTCTTGGTAGGAGCTCAAAAAACACACCTTGAAAATCCCACCACACTGAGAGCATAACCTTGCTCTGATGAATGTCCACTTTCGATGTCATTTTGGGAAATCACCACATTGGGACCACGACTGTTTGCACACCACATTGTAAATGATCCACTTCTCATCACCAGTTATCAGTCACTTCACAAAAGGATAGTTTTCTTCACGCATAATGAACATATCACCGATGTTTGTATGTGCTGTCAAATGAACCCCTTTGAGTTCATGAGGAACCCAAATATCAAGCTTATTTATGTACCCCAATTTCTTCAGGTGGTCATAAACATTTGAGTGATAGATGTTCAATGTTTCTGCAATCTCTTGTGTAACATGGATTTGACTTAATTAATGCCTTTATTCTGTCATTATCATCCTCTGGTTGGTGGTGAGGGCCTCCCTGACCAAGGAATATCGTTGAGATCAGAATCACCAACACAGAATCTTGTGAACCATTGTTGGTAGTGAATTCTTACAAAGCACTGTCACCATACATAGCTTTTCACATCAGCTTGACCCACATTTCTTCTCTTTATCAAAGTAAAACAGTAAAATATGGCAAAAATGCACAATTTGGTCTTCCATCTTCAAATTGCTGTAAATCTCCAAAACTCACCCAAATTGCTTGCTTTTTATTTTGAATGAAGCTAGAACTGTCAGCTGTTGAATGATATAGCAATAACATAGATGAGAATGACTCTAGTACTTCCAAAAATGAACCAGCACCATCTGTTACAAGAATACATCATGACCGAGATCAGCAGATGGCATAATGATTATGTCACTGGACTCCCATGTAGTAGACCACAGTTCGAATCCTGGACCTGGTGGCTTAAAACCCATGCCAGGTGCATGTATGTGTGTGCCCAAGATCCTAAGAGGAGAAGGGACTACAGTGTGGCCATCCTCCCCTGGGTGGGATTTCTTGCTTTCTGTCTCTGTGTCTCTCCGGTGAGTGCACACACCCTATAGAAAAAAAAAATCTCTCTTTAAAAACAAACAAAAAATAGTCACAACTTTTCCAATAGCCCAACAGTCTTCTCTAGAAAGTTCCTTCAGTCTCTCTGCAGGCTCGGTGGGCCTCACCTGTACATGGTAATTTCTAACTTGAAGTGAGAATAGGTAGATCTTGGTATCCAGAGAAAGTTAACAGCTTCTTTGGTCAAATCTGCTCTGCTGAATAATATTCAATAATTTATCAGAGGCAAATTCATAAAGCAGTGGTACTGTCTGTGTGTCTAGTGCTTAACTCTTTTATGATATAATTTAAGCAGTTCTTTTAAAAACTGGTCACCATATATTACATAACCTGTCACATACATTTTTAAATAATTTTTTTTAAAAGTCTTTAGGCTTGAAAATAACCAGTGTCTGCAATTAGGATCTGGAAAGGAGTCTATTCAACCAAGTGAATCACTGCCTTTATTTCAGCTTTACTATGAATACTGAATAAAAATGCAGAACACAATCTAAATTAATAGGTAGAAAAATAAAATTTTAGCAAAATGGAAACTACTGTTTATGGAAATTAAATTGTTTACTAGTATTTACTGTATGCATGTAGGAGTGAAGTATTTACAGGTAACACATTCTAAGAAGTCAGTTTTATGGTTATAAAAAAAATTTTAGGTTAATGAAATTTACAGTACGTATTGAAAGCATGATACAAATGTAAATTTAAGTTTCTGTATTAATTAGGAAGCCCAGTTTGCTAAAAGTAGCATTAAAATTATCACACCAGATTTTAGTCTGTTATATATCTTTGAAGTTCAGCAAATGCCCATATAATGAAAACAATTAAAAAGTGTTATTTACTTAGGACAATAACTTGATATATGTAAAAGGGGGGGATATTTTTATATGTTAATTTAATTCAGATACAGAATTTTTGTGAATTTAAGAAGAATAACAATAGTCAAACACTAACAGAACATCATTAGTCTCTTGTCTGAGTGTTCAAGTATTTATGTAACTCTTCAATCCATCTGGTTTCATAAAACCAAAGCCTGGAACACAACAAAAGCAGCAAAATTCACATTACCTTTTATATGTTCCTAAGTATCAAATTATACCAATTTATTATGAATCAAATTTGAAGAACATCACAGATTTAGAAATAAGTACAGAACTGCCTGATTCCTTTTTAATTCCACAAATATGTAGCATCCCAAAGTAACATGTAAACAAGCCTCTATGCTGCTCAATGAATTCTTTACAATCTCTGTAACAAAACTGTACTGAATCTGATTTATGACTTTCATGTAAGTTATGATTTCATTCATTACTTTGTATTACTGATGTAGCAAAGAGGGAAAAAGTTTCAACTATTGTATTTATTTAAAACAAATGGACAGGTTCAAGCACCTGTCTTCAAAAAAGCCAGCAGCATTTTTTACATACTTAAAGTAAGATTTGGCCTAAGCCCTTAATACCTTCCTGAATAGCCATGCAACTAAACACCCTCAGGTGATGTCACATAGGGAGAAGAACATGGAGCAATTTGCACTTTTTCCCCTGGCTAATAGAAACAATGTAAAGCAAATCCAGATCTTTTTGAATGAACGGCTGTCATCTTTAATACACTCGGAGCTCTATAAAACTAGAGCCACTATCATATATGCTTATATAGATATATACTTCTTATTTTTAATAAAGTCTTTTGCTTCAAAATTTAAGGATGATCTTTTTCCTGGTCAGTCATTTCAAAGAAACAATAAATAAAGTAGAAAAGGATGAATTGTTTTGCATATTTCTGTGGAAGAACGGAAAACATACTTTGAGGTTCAGAAAATTCACTGTACAGAATGAACAGCGTATATACACTATCTGTGCAATTTTTCTTGGCGGGGATATTTAAATGCAAGAGCTCCTCCAAGACAAGAAGCCACATTCATTCTTGTCCAAATCCCTCTGTCTCTTCTATTGCAAAAAGAAGTTTTTCCTTTAGTTGTTCATAACTCTTATATGGTGGTAGATCCAAGCGATTAAAACTGAACAAAAAAACAAAAAGCAAAATCAGGTATCTTCAATAAAATGAGCTCTGAAAAAGTTTCTAATACAACCATTTTTATAGCATATTAAAAAGCTGAGTAGGTAGAGGAAATATACTATATATGTAAACATTTTGCCAAAAATAATCTAGTAATTTACCACTATATTATTTAAGCACTATAGTAACATATACAAGTTTCATATAGCACTTACTCAAACTTAAGGCCATTCATAAATATTTTATCACTTCCCAGAGAAAAAATGAAATTACCAATAATGATAGTAGCATAGATGAAGACTCTGGAATGTTTTCAAAAATCCTTAACTTTCCTTTTCTATACTATCCCTGTTACACTATGACCTGAGTTCCCCTAACTTACTTGGGTTGAGAGTCCATTTCCTTATTTCTTTCATTCATCTATTAATTACTGGGAATCTTTTATATGCCAAATATTGTTCCAGGAACTGGTGTAATGGTTATGGAAAACTGAAGTGTCTGTCCTCATGTAACATACATTCGGAGGTGGAGACAGTCATTGAACACTTGAAATAAAAATAAGCTTATTTTATTTAAAAAAATGGTTACGTTAAAAATGGAAAGAATGGGGACCAGCAGTTAGCGCAATGGCTGTGTTGCTGGACTCCCATGTAGTCAATTGCGGTTTGAGTCCTGGACCCGGTGGGTTAAACTCATGCCAGGTGCATGTGCGTGGATGTCCAAGGTCCTGGAGAATGGAGGAGAAGGGATAGTGGCGTGGCCAGTCCCCCTGGGGGGTGATTTCTCATTCTCTGTCTCTGTCTTTCTGGTGAGCACATGTGCCCTATTGCAAAAACCTCTCCAAAAAGAGGAAAGAGCGATTCTGTTTTACAGTTTTATAAATCTTTTTAATAGCTGGTTTACTAGAAGACATCCAGATTCTGGTATCTACTGTGTACAATCTGTTGCACTACACCATTTTGGATTAAGTACATAAAAATCTAGTCCCACCCAGACATGGAGTTGGAAAATGGTACACAGATAATTGTGGATATTATTCTTTGCTAAGATACTAAATTCAACAAAGTTATTAACAACATGGGTTCTAAAATCAACATTCTATACTGTTACATAAAATCGTTTGCTCTCTTGCACTTTAAACAGCCATGTGTGATTTTTCAACATCACACATTGACTGGTCTGTTGGAAAATTCTCTATACTTGCCAGAATATTTGTTTTATATTATTACTGGCTATTTAAAACTCTTCAAAGGCTTCAAATTTTTCTTAAAATGAAACCCCCATTCTTTATAATAGAATATAAAGCCTCTACATAAATTATCCTACATTTTCAAATTCTCTTCAGTCCCCCTCACCTAATTCACCAAGTATTAAACAAACCAATCGCCTTTCATTTCCTTGAAAAAGAATTTCTTACTTCAGGGCCTTTGCTTACTTCAGCATTTCTTTTCAAAGAATGTTCTTCCCCTGTTTTTTCCCATAGATGCTACTCATGAAACTCAAACAAAATCCCTTCCAAGAACTCTCGCAGAGTAGGTTCCCTCCAGCTGTTCTCTATAACAGTACCCTCTTTATTTCCCTCAAAGGAATTCCCCAATTTGCAAATAGTTATTTACCTATTTGTCATATGTGCTCCACCATGGCACAAACTTCTTAAGAGCCAGGCAGTACTTCAATCTTAATTAGTAGTGATTTTACATAATTGCTCATGCAATGGATATATTTCTCAAGGACTGTTAATTAGCCAGTAAGTACTGTAATGTGTTTAGTCACAGAATGCCACATTAATCAGTCTGTTCCTCAGAACTGAAAGTCTGAGTACTTTCATAAATAAGCCGTTATACAATATCTTACATATTTAAAAAAGAAAAAAATACTTTCTTTGGCATTCACCTTCCTACTTAGGATTCTTAAACTTACCATGTATGGCTTCTTGGCAACCAAGTGTCTTTGCCAACTTTTTCAATGCAAAACTTTTGAGGCCCATTACTTCCTAAAACCAGGAAAATAAGACAAAATTTATCTGCTTCCTTAAACTTTTTCAGTTTTGACTACTCAGTAACAACATGTCACATAGTCATACATATGACACAGAATAAACTAAAGAAATACACAATTTAAGTTGCTTATTGCTTATGCCTGGAAGCTTCGGATTGCGGCACAGATCCAGCAATAAGAAAGAAACCAGTAGAAAGATTATTTCTACAGAATTTTATTTCCTTCCCAATCACCCTAGGGAGCAAAGCAATAGCCCCCTAAGGTACATAGGGAGACTTTCACTGTTATTTTAAACCTGCCTTTGATATCAACCATTCATTTTCTGGTAAAAGCCCTACACAGACCACAGAGAATAATCCTTACATTCAGGTCTATCATATGTCAAAGGGTGGTTATTATCACACAGTTATCTTCAGGGGAAGCTCAATGATCACACTCACCCATGAGCTCAGCAAATCCTCCTAGAGGTAAACGGCAGGTTCCAGTGACAAACTGTAATAGTCGCATTCTTACTTCATTATCTGTCTCTTTCACAAACTGTGTAACAAAATCAAATGGACTTTAATACAAAATAAATGCTAAACTATCCTCAATAACGAACATAGTGTTGAATCATTGGAAAAGACATAACTTAGTTTTCTCTGTTTTTCTATGCAAAAACACATCATGGCTTTTATGACAATTTGATACTTAAATAATACTTAATATTGAATTTTATTAGAAAATGGTCACATCAAGGCCAACAAGTGGCATAGTGTTTAAGATGCTGGACTCCCACATGGCCAAACGTGATTGAAGTCCTGGACCTGGTGGTCTGAAAATTACACCAGCCTGTGTGCATGTGTGTCCCAATTTAACACTTTTCCTCTCTGTCTCTCTCTTGTGAGCACACGTGCTATATGACAAAGACTTAAAAAAAAAAAAGTCATATAATTCATTAAGACAACACGGTGAATCTTACCTCATTAATCCTCACAATAACTCTGTAAGTTGACCACTATTATTATGATATCCATCCTCAGAGAGGAAATAGAAGAGAAGCTTAGAAAGTTAAGTCATTGGATTCCACATGGCAGGCTACACACTTTGAATCCCAGCCCTGGCAGCACCTTGAAAATCATGTCAGATGCATGTCAGTGTATGCCCAAAATTCTAAGAGTATGGGAACCAGCAGATGGCATAATGGTTACGTCTCTGGACTCCCATGTAGTCGACTGCAGTTCGAGTCCCGGACCCAGTGGCTTAAAAATCGCGCTGGGTGCAGGAACCAGCAGTTGGCACAATGGCTATGTCGCTGGACTCCCACGTAGTCCACCGCGGTTTGCGTCCTGGACCCAGTGGCTTAAAACTCACGCTGGGCGCATGTGCGTGTGTGCCCAAGAATGGAGAAGGGATTGCGGTGTGACCATCCCCCCTGGGGGGGCTGATTTCTCGCTTTCTGTCTCTATGTCTCTGTCTGTCTGGCGAGCACACATGCCCTATAGCAAAAAAAAAAAAAAAAAAGAAAAGAAAAAACCTCTCCAAAAAAAAAAAAAAAAATCACTGGGTGCATGTGCATGTGTGCCCAAAATCCCGAGAGGAGAGTGGAGGAGGAGGGATTGCAGCATAGCCAATCCCCCTGGGAGGGAGGGCAGTGATTTCCTGCTTTCTGTCTTCCTCTCCGGCGAGCGCACATGCCTTTCAGTAAAAATATCTCTCTTTAAAAAAAAATCTTAAGAGGAGACTGGAGAAGAGATTGTGGCATGGCCACCGCCCCCCTCCACCAAAGGTGATTTTTCAGGTTCCTTCTCCTTCTCTCTATCTCTCTCTGGCTAGCCCATGAGCCCTATAGCAAAAACAATTAAATTTTAAAATAAAGACTTAAGAATTTTTTTTTTAACGAAAAGTACAATCAGATACAGGTTGTTAGGTTAATATAACAATTATCACCTACTGAGGGCTCCTGCCAAGCAAAGCTTTTCCACTGTACATAAAAAAATATGGAGGGCCTAGAAAGATTCAATAATGTCTCCTTTTCGAACTACTAGTAAGTGGCAGAACTAACATCTGAACTCAGACAGGTCTGGTTGAGCTCTAAAATACTCTTACCTTCTTATTCAACTACCCCCTCAACTTTATGTTATAGAAAACAAATGAACACCTCCCTACCTATCACCACTCTCAATAGTGAGTGGTATTTTCTCCCACTAATATCATTTTCCCAATTTTTTTTTTTGGGGGGGGAGAGAGGTTTTTGCTATAGGGTGCGTGTGCCCACCAAAAAGAGACAGACAGACAGAAAGCGAGAAATCACCCCCAAGGGGGATGGCCACATGGCAATCCCTTCTCCTTCATTCTCCTCTTGGGATCTTGGGCACACACACACACCCAGTATGAGTTTAAGCCACCAGGTCCAGGACTCGAACCATGGTCGACTACATGGGAGTCCAGCGACGTAGCCATTATGCTTTCTGCTGGTCCCATTTTCCCAATGTTTACTATTTTTCTGACTGAAAAACCAAAGTATGTATTTCTCTAAAATTATCTAGTTAATTGACACGTTCTTTTCAAAGAGAAACAAAGGTAATAATGATAAACTGGTTTGAATTTTTTTATATAACTTAAGGAGATGTTTGAGGGTAGAAATATATTTTAAAAGCAAGGGATAATTTTAGCTAAGGATAACACAAAATGCTGTACTAATCATAACCAAAAATCTTTTGGTACGGACTTGTGCTGAGATACGTATTTCACTGAGACACAGGAAAGACAGCTTCTTACCAGGTCTGGCATAACCCTCACTCCTACGTGCAATGCAGTGGACACTTCAGGTTTGGACACGGCTTTGTTCCTACCTTTTATTTATTTATAATAGGTAAAAGTAAAGAATCCAAAAGGTAGTAAAAAGGGTTCACTGTGAGAAGCAGCTCCCCCCTTTCCCTCTTAACCACTCAGCATCTCTCTAGAACTGCTGCCAGTTTATTCTCTGCCTTTTCAAAGATGGTGTATACATATATTAGCATATGCTTTTACTATGCTGAGCACAACTTTCTCTCTAACCGAATAGCACACTGTACACATCTTTCAGCACCTTTTTTCTCCCCTTAATATGGTATTGAAACATATAATTCTCCAATATTGCTGTTAACTAGATTTTGAAAAAAAAGAAAAGGGGACCAGCAGTTAGCATAAAGGCTATGTCACTGGACTCCCATGTAGTCAACCACGGTTCGAGTCCTGGACCCGGTGGCTTAAAAAACGGGCGCGTGTGCGTGCATGTCCAAGATCCCAAGAGGAGAATGGAGGAGAAGGAATTGCGGCGTGGCCATCCCCACTGGGGGGTGATTTCTCGCTTTCTGTCTCCCTGTCTCTGTCTGTCTGGCGAGCGCATGCGCCCTATAGCAAAAACCTCTCCACACACACAAAAAAAAGAGTCAGCATTTTTGGGGCCAGCAGGTGGCCTGGTGGTTAAGGCGCTGGACACTCCCACATGGCTCACCATGGTTCGAGTCCCGGACCTGGTGGCTTGCTTTCTCACTTTCCCTCTCTCTCTGAATGTCTCTCTCTGGTCAAATTGAAACAAATGAATGAACTAATAAAATTAAAATAAATAATTTTTTTTAAAAAACAGGGAAAATAAAGACTATAAGAATATAATTATAGAATGAACATGTTACACTTAACTATTTTAGTATTGTGGTTTTTCGCATGAAGTCTAATTTAAGATAAATTTCTCAAAGTATCCACATTTCCTCAAAATATTCAGCAAGAAAGTCTTGACACACATCCTCATGAAAAGATGCAACTTTCCAAAAATCTTTCTATAACAATTTAACACCCAGGCTTACTTTTTATCTAAAAGGGAAATGGTTAGGCAGAAGTAAGCCAAAAGTTCAGTAATTAAGTTGCTCAAACGAGCCTCAATCTGTAGATGGTTGTGAAAAATATCTCTAAAGACAGTAGGTTCTCAAATAAATACATAAAATAAATAATAAGGGTATTAAAATAAAACATGCTTCAAGACTAATATGATGCGCTTGGATATCCTGGGAATACCCTATTACTGTTTAAGCCAAACCCAAGTAATACAGATAAATAAGTAAATAAATAAAGCCATTCTTGGACATTATGCCCTGGATTTATTTATTATTGTTACTGTTATTTATTTATTTCATTTTTTCCTGCTCTATGGCACATGTGTTTACCAGAGAGAGACAGAGAAGGAAAATAAAAAATCACCCCCCCAAGGGAAGGACCATGCTGCAATCCCTTCACCTCCATTCTCCTCTCAGGAATTTTGGGCACACACACGTGCCTGGCATGATTTTCAGGCAGCCAGGTCCAAGGCTCAAGGTATGTAGGAGTGGAAGCCATGTAGGAGTCTACTGCCTTAACTACCGTGCCACCTGCTAGCCCCTTTCCTAGACTTTTTATATTCCTTGAATAGCATCACCTGAAATAACTACATTGGTTCTCATTACAAACACATTTCCTCATTTACTTCTAGAATTAAATAGAATTCATAGAATACTTTGATATTGCTAGAAAAAATGTTATGCCTACAACTACTGCTGTTCAAGTATAAATTAAATAAGATTCTGTCATTCAGTCCTTGATTTACAAAGTAAATCAAAGTAGTAATGGAAAATATCTTTCTAACAAGTTTTCAAACTACTCAAGAGTCGGAATTGGAAGACAAAAACCCATGTCAAAAAACAATCTCAATTTAAAAACTAAATTATTTTTCAAACACCACTTTTTTTTGAAAGCATTTTTCTTTGAATAACTTGTCTCAAAATGATAAAAGCAAATACCTGCCAAAACCAAATGATTTGCTTGCTATTTCTTGTATAATGTCGATAAACAGTATTTCTTTGCCAATCTGCCAAGTCAACCTCCTGCATGCCACATAACATAACCTGGAAAAGATCATAGTCTCAAGTCACGATTAAGGTTTAGTGAAGAGAATAATACATCTGAAATTTTCTAATACACAGTTAGGCACATGTCACAATTACTAAAGTTATATGCAGGGCAAATAGTGATCTCAGTTAATAATCCAGCAAAATCGGTGGTAATTCAGCATAAAGGATTCTCAGATACATCATTTTATCTATGCTTATTGACCTCAAACTGAAAACATCACTTAGAATATTCTTTAAGGAAAACATCAGCTGGACTGAAAAACCTGTCTCCTTTCATATATTTATATATATATATCTCAAAATGAATATCCAAATTGATTGGTTCAAACGTAAGTTTCTGGTTCTTTTTTTATACCTATGCTACCATAATAGAGAGCTGTCGGAAAGTCCCGATGTACTTTTTCTGTTTTTCTATGCAAATTGCATCATTGCTTTTCAGACAACCTAATATATTTAAAAATCAAAAACGTATTCTACAAATTTAAGAATACAGATGGATGTGTACACCTGAGTAACTACCATACAACCAAGATGTAGATCATTTCCATTATGGCCCATTTTGTAGTCAAAGCTATCAATCTCATCTCTGGCTTTAGGTAATCAATGATTTCACCACAGATTATATTTTTATTTTTCAAAGTTAATACAACAGAATTTTCAAAAAGTTCATAGAAAATGCATATTATCAGGGAAAAAAACACATATGAATTTAAAAATTATTTTGTACCAAAACAAACTTGTATTTTAATTCAATTCTTCTTTTACATAAACTCATACTCTCCCTTTTTTCAGAAACTTTTTGAGGTTCTGTAATAGTAATATTTCACATATATATATATTTATAATAAATGAATTAATACATGAATGTATGACCTGTGTAAATGTATGTGAAAATGTGATGCTGTCTTTCTTTTTATTTTGACTCTATTTTTTAATGGTCAAAGGTGATGTGAACCCAACAGTGGGACAGAGAGAGAACCTTAAAATAGAATGTAATCATGACATCATTTTGTCTTCATTTGTCCTTTCTAATAGAATTTTGGGCATGCCCACATACATATGTGTGTGGCATGTTCTCCAAACCACCAGGGGCCAGGAGTCCAACTGTGGTCAGCCACGTAGTATCTGGCTCAATGTGTAGTAATCTTTTTTTTTTTTTTTTTTTTTGAGAGGTTTTTGCTATAGGGCACGTACGCTCACCAGAGAGACAAAGAGAGAGAAAGAGAAAGCGAGAAATCATCCCCCAAGGCGGATGGTCACACTGCAATTCCTTCTCCTCCATTCTCCTCTCGGGATATTGGGCATGCACGCACACACGCCCGGCATGTTTAAGCCTCCAGGTCCAGGACTTGAACTGCAGTCGACTACATGGAAGTCCAGCGACATAGCCATTACACCAACTGTTGGTCCCCCAGTGCAATAATCTTAACCACTATGCTATGGGGCCAGCCCTTGCATTCCATTTTTCAATGACTATTTGAAATATCCTCATATGAGCACATATACATATTTCTGTCATTACAATACACACACACACATATTCACATTTTTTTCCCTTCCACTGAACATGGTTTTCAGATTCAATCATGCTGTTGTAGGAACCAGTAATTTGTCCTTTCATATCACTGGGTAGTATTAGTATTTTATTATATGTAGACACGACAATTTGATTACACATTTACTTACTGATAGACATTTGGGTTACTTAAAATTTTTGGCTTTGATGAATATAGTTATGGTGAATATTTACATATAAGTCTTTGTGTAGACATGTATTTATATTATTGCTTTCACCTAATAGTGGTACTACTAGGTCATAAGGTAGATAGATATACATTTAACACTATAAGAAATGATCAACCTTGGCCCATAGTGGTATTTCATTTAGTGTAAATCTGCATTTCCACAATAACTAAGAAGCATCTTTTCAGGTGCTTTCTTGCCATCTTTACAGGAGACTTCAAAGGTTTGTAGAAAAATGAAACTAAAATATAAGTTTATTTGGGTACAAAACAATTCTGAAATCCATGTTTAGTTTTTTCATGATATGTGTATTCCATCAACTTTGTGAAGAACCCTAATATACCTCTTCTTTGTAAGCTGAGTCTTTATCGACTTAAAGATATTTTTGTCTTTTTATTGAATTTTTAACCCATATCTGGATATAAGACCACTGACTCAGCAGTTCTGTTTCTCTTGCACTGGGGTGGGGCCTCTAAAACAAGAGTTCCTAACTAGAAGGTATGGAATGGTTTCCATTTGTGCATATGGAGTTGTTTATTTTCCTCAGATCCTAGTAAAGTCTGGGATTCAAAAAAGATTAATAAATACCACTCTAATAATATGTCCTCCATGCTTATGTTATATGTTTCTGCTAATCTGTGTGAGCAAGCTGTTAAGAGCTGCTGACCAGGTTTAGTGAAGAGTCTAAGTGTCAGTGAGACTCAAAGTCCTGATTTTCATATAATTCTTAGGTCAAAGTAGCCAGAAGACTAACTGTGACACGGGAATATTACACAAAACCCAAAAAGCTATTTTTCATATGCACATTTGATTACATGGATAAACTAAGTTTCTTAACAGAGGTGCCAAAGATGGCTATAATTAAAATACTACACACAATGTGGGCTAAAAAGAAATGCCAAAGACTATCATAATGCTCTGCCTACATGGGAAAAGAAGACTTAAAGAATTCCTGAAATGAATCATTTAGGGAATACAAAACTAAATGAGATTTGTCACCCACCTTGTACCCATTAGAGTGGCTACTATAAAAAATAAAACAGCCAAAGAAAAACAAAAGAACTGCTGGTAAAGGTGTAGAGAAATTGAAACTCTTATTTGCCATTGGCAGGAATGTAAAATAGTGTAATCACTATGCAAAACAATAAGGCGGTTCCTCAAAAAATTAAATACAAAATTACCACGTGGTCCAGCAATACCACTCCTGTGTGTATATCCAAAAGAACTGAAAGCAAATTTCAAAGCGATACTTGTACACCTATGTTCATAGCATTATTCTCAGTAGCCAAAAGGAGGAAGCAAGCCCAAGGTCCAGTGGGGAATGAATGCAAAGTAAAATGTATAAAAGATACACAATGGAGTATTTACTATTCAGACTTAAAAAGAAAGGAACTTCTGAATGCTATGGAGGGATGATCCTTGAGGACATTATGGTGAAAGAAATAAGTCAATCACAAAAAGACAAGCATTATAGGATTTCATATGTAAGAATATCGAGAGTAATCAAACACAGAAACAGAAATAGAATGGTGGCTGCCAGGGGCTGAGCACAGTATTGCGTTGTTTAATGAGTAGAGGTTCGGTTTTGCAAGATAAAAGTTCTAGAGACTGAATGCACAATAACGGGAATATAAATAACATTACTGAACTATACACTTGAAAATAGTTAAGATGATACATGTCCTATCATGTGTATTTTATAACACACATACAAAAAAAAAAAAAAAGGAACTCCTGACATATTTTTATCAAATCTAAATACTGTTAAGACTACTACGAACTCATGACTTAAAAATAGGATCTTTGGAGGAACTCACTATTAAACTGAGATTTCAGGAGGTTCCCAGAATTATGAACAATGTTCTAATAACTTTTTATTACCTTTAGCAGCTGGTTCTAACTGATGACTTTATGATACCATCATGGTTCAGAGCATGCAATCAAGACTTTCAAACCACCGCTAGGATTAATACCATCTGAGTATTTGGATAAATGAGGAGATTCAAGATTTTGCTACTATGGGCGCTGGCAGGTGGCACTGTGGTTAAGGTGGCTGGACTCCCACATGGCTGACCATGGTTCGAGTCCCAGACCTGGCAGCTTGCTTTCTCACTTTCTTTCTCTCTCTCTCTGTCTCACTCTGGTCAACTTCAATAAAACAAAATAATGACAATAAATAAAATTAAAATAAAATAATTCTTAAAAATATTTTGATATTATGATTTAAGGATGTGTGGACATTACTCTGTAAAAGCACAAAAACAACACCTCCCCCATTAACATTCCCTACAATAGCGTAATCAAAGAGCCTAACCTCCAATTCTTTTTCATCGAAGTACTGCAGCCACTGCAGGGGAACAACTTCATTAAAACCATCAAGAAAAGCTTTGGTTTGTTCTTGTACTCCTCGAGAAAAACGCCATTCTGTCATTAAACTGAAAACAAAGATGGTATTTTAAAATTGGTAATTTATATTTGAAGTAAAAGGCTTAAAAACAAGAACCTCGAAAGTTCTTTTGCTTTTTCTAACCAAACCATGTATATACACATATCACACATACATTAAGGGGTCTTTAAAAAGCTCACTGAAAATAAACACCATGAAAAACTATGCATAGATTTCAAAATTTTTTGCACCAAAATAAACTTGGACTTTACTTCCACTTTTCTACAAATATTTTGACCTGTCCTCATACGCATGGAGAACATGAAAATATCCTAGCCAGAACCAAAGAAATTAATTAAGATGGAAGTGAAACAGTCTGAGGAGAAATATAAAGCAGCTGTGGAATAAGCAAGTATGATGAAGTAAGAAAAAAAAATCTGTTAGTGACACAAAATATCTGAACTGGAGCTTGCAAAAGGACATGGGTCTGCAGAAACAGCATTCATTACCTGATGAAGAAAAGCCAATTTATCATGCTGCTCCTGTTTCTTTTCTCTTTCTTTCTTTCTTTTCTTTTGTTTTTTTCTTTTTTCTTTTTTTTTTTTTAAGTAAGAGAGATCTTTTTCTATAGAGGACGTGTACTTGGCAGAGTGACAGAGACAAAAAGTGAGGAATCACTTTCCCCAGGAGAAATGGCCACACTGCAATCCCGTCTCCTCCATTCCTCTTGAGATTTTGGGCACGCATGCCTGGAGTGATCTTTAAGCCTCCAGGTCTAGAACTCAAACCACGGTTGGTTACATGGGAGTCCAACGACATAACCATTACGCTGTCAGCTGGTCCCGCTCCTCCTATTTCTAACTCCCCTTTTTCTGTCCTAGAAGACACTGGTCTATGCTCTTCTGAGGCAAATCATTGATATTTGCTGCCTATCTCTGTATCAATTAATAACCTCTCTTTGCCCCATATCCTCAACTCTGCCTTATTTCTTTCCATCTGTCCACAAAGTAATTCAGACTATTTCCCCAAAACCCTGCCTTCAACACAGCATCTCTGTGAAGCTACCCTCTGTCTTATCTGCCACACTTAATGCATGAGTAAACTACTCATAGTAACTTTAATCACAAATGTCAGTTTTTTTTTTTTTTTCTACAGGGTGCGTGTACTAGCCATAGAGAGAGCACACCCCATGTCTTGGGGGAATGGCCATGCTACACACAGTCCCTTCTTCATTCTCCTCTCAGAATTTTGAGCACACATGCCTGGCATGTGTTTCAAGCCTCCAGATCTAGGACTCGAGCTACGCAGTCAGCCATGAGGGATCCAGCTGTCATAACCACCAACCACCTGTTGGCCTCACCAAGGAATTTTTACTTGCCAAGCTCAGTCTTGTCTTTTCAGTGTGAGTTACACAAACTTCCTCTCTAACTCTCACATAATTTTTTCTGGGCCCAGTAATGCCATTCTTTCTTTATTTCTTTGGGGGAGGTTTTTGCTATAGGGCATGTGCGCTCACTAGAAAGACAGACACAGAAAGCAAAAAATCATGCCTCCAGGGGGGATGGCCAGGCTGCAATCCTGTCTCCTCCATTCTCCTCCCGGGATCTTGGGCACACACGCACGCACACGCACCCAGCCTGAGTTTAAACCACCGGGTTCAGGACTCGAACCATGGTCGACTACATGGGAGTGCAGCTACATAGCCGTTATGCCATCTGCTGGTCCCCAGTAGTGCCATTATTATTATTATTATTTTTGGGGGGGAGGTTTGTGCTATAGGGCACGTGCACTCGCCAGACAGAGAGAGACAGAAAGCAAGAAATCACTTCCCGGGGAGATGGCCATGCCGCAACCCCTTCTCTTTTGTTCTCCTCTCGGGATCTTGGGCATGTACACACACACGTCCGGCATGAGTTTTAAGCCACCGGGTTCGTGACACGAACCACGGTCGACTACATGAGAGTACAGCGACATAGCCATTACGCTAACTGCTGGTCCTCCCAGTAATGCCATTTTTAATGCTTTGGCTTGGGTGGCTCCTTTGTCCTTCATGGGTTTCACTATTTCATAAATGTTGGGGTTAGAGCTCTTCCTTCTCTTCTCTTCTAGCTACTCAATCTCTCAAGATACTTTTTTAGCTACTAAAGTTCCAACTATTACAGGAAAGCCATTCTTTAATTCCCAAATCTTGTTTCCCTCTTGAGATTCTCTTCTGAGATTAAGATATTTACAGGCCACTTCTCCTTGGATATCTTAACAAAATCTGACTGTCAAAAAAATGAGAAACCTCAATCATCAGATATTTGATTTCCTATTTTTTCCCTCACTGTGTGTAATCAGCCATGGAATCTAACTATTCTATTCCCATCAGGCCCTCAACAATATACTCACCCATTTTTCTCTCTACTGCATCCACCCTATTTCAAGCCTGTAATACCTTACCACAGCATTGTTGATATGATCTCCTACCTAGTCTCCCAGTCTCCCTTCCCAACTGTTACTCCTAATTTATCCTCCATACAGACACCAGAATTTTCTTCCTAAATACAATATGATCATCTCATTTTGGTTTGTTCTTGATGATTCTATAACTTAGGAGCAAAATCCAGGTTTTTAAGGATAACCTAAGTTCTCCAGATTAGGGTATAATATGGCTACCATACTAGGTTTCTATCTAGCTAATTCTCACCATTTCTTATCATTTCCACATCACTGAAGTTGTTGATTCCCAGAATAAATGAACCCCTTAAATACTTCAATTCTGCTCTTGCTGTTCTCCTCCTCCCAAAATGCTGTCAGGCAAGCTCTCTCACATCTTTTAAGACAGATGTCCTATGAAGGACTTTCCTGACTCCTGCCACCATAATCAAGTGTTCTCTTTTCACTCTGAATTCCAACATTATTCCATACATGTTTCTTCCATTCAGTTACTCACAGATTCATGGAGATCCTATTTTGTGCACTAAGTCGAGGTAACACAACTAAAAATGAAGAACATTATCATATAATGTTCAAAGATAAGATTAAAAAATAAGATTAAAATATGTTATTGTTTGATACTAAAACAAAAGCCTCTGAAAACTGTATCTGGGACTAGACATCAAGTCTTAAATAAAAGGTACCATACAGATAAAATATTTTTAACGTAGTGGTTATAAAGTGTAAAGTTCAAACAACAAAGTGCAAAGTTCAAAGAAACCATGAGATGACGTTTTATTTAAAATGATCTTTATATTGGAATCCACCAACAGCATTTTTTTAAATACTTAAGATGGGTTAATTAGTAATTATTAATATATTCTGTAGAAGGTGGTTTAAGGCTTCACAAATAAAGTCCAGTGCTATACATACTATCTTTGTAGACAGTTTTTCTTTAAAATATAGTTTCACTGTTTTTCCACCAAAACTAATAATACTTCAAAAACTATAAAGATATATAAAGAAAATCAGCAGGACCAATAAATGTTGTAATGGTTATGTTGCTGGACTCCCATGCAGCTCACCACAGTTCAAGCCCTGTACCCAGCATCTTAAAACTCGTGCCAAAAATCCCAAGAGACTGAAGAAAAGATTGTGACATGGCCAACCTTCTTGGAGAATGATTTCTCGCTTTCCATCTCTCCAGCAAGGATACGTGCCCTTTAGTAAAAAATCTCTCTCCCCACCCCAATCCCAAAAAAGAAAAAAAACAGCTACTATAATTTGTCCCACTTTGAAATAACACTCTAAAAGAAAAATATGGAGCAAGAAGCCTATAATGCTATGCTAAGAAGGCTGCATTTAACTTAGAAAGCAGAAAGATCACACCAATGTGCACGTTAAGAACGAAAAAAAGGACTGCTATGACCTTTTAGGAAAGCAACACAGCAACATCTACTAAATACTTTTTGATCCAAACACTTTATGTGAATTTGTCTTACAACAATAAATAGCAGGATGTATGGATTCATGTTTAAGGAAGTATTCTGCTGCCTTGTTTGTAGTGGCCCAAACTGGACATAACCTGACCCTAGTAGTAGAAATGTCTGAATAATATAAAATTTATTGAGCTATTTGAAAATGTATTGGGACCAGAGAATAGCGTAATGGCTATGTCACTGAACTCCCTCCCATGTAGTTGACTGCAGTTAGAGTACAGGACCCGGAGGCCTGAACTCATGCCAGGCACACGTGCGTGCGAGCCCAAGATCCCAATGGGAGAATGGATGAGAAGGGATTGCACCGTGGCCATCCCCCTGGGGGGGGATGATTTCTTGCCTTCTGTCTTTCTATGTCTTTCTGGCAAGCACACATGCCCTATAGCAAAAAGTCTCCCAAAAAAAAAGAAAAAAAAGAAAAAAAAAATTGAGCTATTGCAAAATGAGATCTATTTCTACTGAACTGAAGAAGGATGGACAAAGTAACAGAGTAATACATATAATACCATTTTCAAAACAAATATGAAAAACAAACAAAAATAATTTAAAAATTAGTATTTCATGATGTGAAAATTATATCCAATCAAATTTCAGTGTCTGTAATAGTTTAATTGGAATATAATCACGCATATCTCTTTACACACTATCTGCGGCTAGTTTTGTACTACATTAGGAGAGTTGAGTGAGTAGCTGCAGTTAATACTATATGGCGTGTAGGTCTAAAATACATACTGCCTGGTTTTTTCCTTAAAAAGTTTGGATTTATCTGACTGGCAAATGGAAATTATTTTTGTTTGTCTGTTTATTTTTGAGAGATTTTTGCCATAAGGCATGTGTGTTTGCCAGAGAGACAGAAGAGAGAATCACCCCCTTCAAGGGTCATGCCATGCTGCAATCCCCTCTCCTCCATTTTCCTCTTGGGACTTTGGGCACGCAGATAATGTGTGCTTGGGGTGAATTTTAAGCTGCCAGTTATGGGACTTGAACTGTGGTCAGCTATGTGAGAGTCCAGCACCTTAATCACTACACCACCTGCTGGCCCAAATGGAAATTATTTTTAAAGTTCGCATATTACCTTAATAGAAAACGGAAGCCATGGCAGAATATTCAGAAAAGTAGGATAAAGACAGAACCTTGGAAAGATACCCACATTTAGGAAATGAAGATTTAGAAAGCCACCTACTAAAAGGGAAAGTGAAGACAATCGGTATGGTATAGGCTCATAGAATCCAAGGGAGTCTTGGAATGGTGGTGAGCACTACTAAAAGCGGTAAGTTATAAAAGGGAAAGTGATATGGAATGAAGGAGCACCAGACTAACAGTCTAGGCTTGGATTCCAGATAGGTTTTGCTATTTCTAACAGAACCCCAGTCCCTTAAATAAAAATGAAAGAAGGGGCTACAGTCTTTGCTAAGTCCTTCCTAGCATCAATGGTCTGTTCTTTGATGTCAGCAAAGGCAGGATGGTTATAGCAAAAGGCAGTGGGAAACTGCAAGTCTTCATAATTACACCATTTCAGGAAAACTGGTACTCTTGAGAACATACCAGAAGAGTGAAAAAGGGACAAGGCTAAGGGAACAAATCGAGGATTTCGCTCTAATGTGCTCTAAAAGGCCCAGAGATTAAGGTCAGCAGCTGTGTCACCTTACCCAATATATTCATCTTTGTTCTCCTCAGTCACCAGGATATTGGAACCGCCTAACTTCAGGTCATGTGAAGTAACTTTTCCTAAAATCTCCATGTCAACAGAAAAGTACATTTCTAAGCCACATTCTTCAATGTTGTTGTCTCTGAGTAAAATAAATCGATGTATTAACATATACACTAATTAATAAAAATGTATAAAAGGGCTTCAAGAAAATGCTTTATTGAAAAAACAAATCTTTATACCTTATCCAGATAAGGGAGTTATAAAATTCAGTATCTATAGATTCCAAATCCTTAATAGTAAGTTTTTTACTTAGCATACGCTTGTAGAATGGTAAAGAGAAACCAGTATCAATAAACTTCCCATGAAATAATGCCTGTGAAAGAAAACAAAAAATTTTACTGAAAATTTAAGAAATAGCAATTCTTATTTGGAGCACAGTAATTAACAGATAATTCATGAGTAAAAAAAAGAATTTACTAAGTGAAGAGAATAAATCATTAAAACTAAAATATTATATAAAATGCAAAGTATGAAAAAGAGTTAAGAAAGCTATTTCACTGAGGTCAAATACTTAACTATACAATGTAGTATATAATTTGTTTTGTGCCATGGGGGGCATTCACTGGAGAGACACAGATAGAGAAAGGGAGGGATAGTGAGAAATCCACCCCCCACCACACACACACATCCCCAGGGGATGATGGCTAAACTGCAGTCCCTTCTCCATTCTTCTCTTGAGATTTTGGGCACAAACATAAGACCGGCATTATTTTCAAGCCACTGGGTACAGGATTCAAACCAGTGAGCCATGTAGGATCCAGCGCCTTGACCTCCATGTCACCTTCTGGCCTCATATCAACAACTTTAAATGGGATGTTACAATCTACCCTCTTCTAATATGTCTTTAAAATTAGATTAACCAAAGTGGATGCAGCAATGAAGAATTACCCTATGTACCTGGAAAGACCTCTCTTCCATTTCTTTTCTACTTTTATGGTTGCCTCTGAGATCTTCAGGACTAACCCCATTGTGCCTTCATTCTTACAATAGCCAACAGAAAAAGCTCCAGACTCCTACAGTTTTATACCTCACAGGGATCTAAAAAAGCCCACTATTACTTTATTGCTGTCTCTCAGTCCTTAAAGTTATTTCTCCTATTTCTCAGTTTAGATTCTATCTATCAATAATCATTAAGATTACTCCATTGTACACTAACACATACTGTCTCCTTATAGTTTTGACAAAATCCCAAGACTAGCAAATTCAACTTTCAACTTACTCAATGCCTATAGTTAGACAGTAGCTAATGCTAACATGTACATTTAACTGAACTGACTGGTTCATAACCTTTACCTTGAAGCAGAAGCTTGGTGTAGACCTGTAGTCCTCACCTATTAGGTGACTATTTCATTCGTACTTCTTATCCTTCAAATACCTCTTTCTCCCCATGTCTCAATCAGAGCTAATTATCTTACTTATGTCACGGAGGAAACAGTGACAATGAGAACTGCACTTTTGTGGTATCTACTCCATCTGGCTTATTACCAGCATCTGAATCTGCATACTCATATACGGACAAGCTTTTTGTTACTTCTATGGGCACTAAACATTAGTTCCTTGGAAAAGTCATGACATATTTTTCTGTTTTTCTATGCAAATATGTGTCATGATTTTTCCGACTACCCAATAAATCTCCTTCTCTCCTACTGAAGGCTATAGCTCCCATTATTTCTTATATTACTAACCTCATCAAATTTTTTTACCCTCTTACTTACTCATCACTATCAACAATATGAATGTTTTAATTCTTCCATTCTTGTTGACTCCATTTCTAGTTACTGCCCAATTCACTAAGATCCTTTAAAGAAAACTGCTTTAAAAGACTTGTTTGTATTGGCTGTCTCAATTCCTTCTATTCTTTCTTGATTTTATTCCCACTCTGCCCTACCACTCAGGAGTAACTTTCACCTTCCCATAGCAAGTGGTCAGTTTCCAGGTCTCATCTTGTTCAACCTATCAATCACCTGCCAGGGCTAACCATGTCTACCTTCTTCTTTTGTCCTCTGGAAACTACTCTTACTTGATTTTAACTACATCAGCTCTTCCATTGGTTCACCTCTTGGACTTATAAATGTTCTTGAATTTCTTTTGTGTTCAAATCTATTCCTTAAATAATCACAAAGCCTTTTAATATTCTCTATATGTAAGAACTTCCAACCACTTATCTCTAAATTAGACATTCTCTTGTTTCCAGACTTACACATCTGTACCTATCCTGTATCTATACTAGAATGTCTATAGGCATCTCAATCTCAACAAGTCAAACACGAATTCTTGATATTTTTTCCCACCCCCAAAATCTATTCTTGCCACAACCCTGTCCATCTTAGGAAATAACAATTCCAACCAGATGTGCAGGCCATAAATTTTTGTGCTACAGCTGCATCTAGTCTGCCAGAAAACCATTAGTTCTGACTTTGGAAAATATCCCAAATCCAAACCACTTCTCATTCCCCTTACTACTACACTACTCAAGTCCAAGCCACCAATGTTTCTCACCCTAACTGCTACAAATGGTCTCCCTGCTTTTAACCTTGCTTTCCTCTGGCCCCAATTATAGTCTCTCTTGTACAAAGAAGCAAAGCAAGCTTCATAGAATGTAAGTCAGATCATGTTTCTTAGATAATATAACTCTTTCCTCTATTCAAAACCACCACATAATTTCTCCAAGGTCCTACCCAGTACCTCTGTGTCATCTTCCACACTTTCTCCCATACACTCTGCTCCAGCCACACTAATCTCTTTTCACTCGAGAATGCACGTCTGGCCCAGCCTCTGTGGCATATCCAGTAGTTACTGGACGGCAGGGGTGGAAACAATATGATGACCGTCATTCAAGGTTCTGGCTGACTGGCCCGAAAGCACTCAGGATATGTGACCTGGATTCTGGTGAACTAGAGGACTGAAGGAAGGGGACTGACTGGGACATTAGGACATGACTGAGCCCTCCAGAGGGTGCCTCTCTCTTTCTCTCTCTCTTTCTCAATCATGTACATGTTGTATCATAAATTTGAAAAAAAAAAAAACAAAAGGGCGCTCCTAGCACACACTTTTACTTTTAACCTTTGTCTTGCTGTTCCCTATGCCTACAATGTTCTTCAAGATACTCTTTAATCCCTTGCTTCCTTCATGTTTTTGTTTATGTGTCATCTATCTGAGAGACCTCCTTTAAGGCTACTACATAAAAGAGCAACACCCCCTTTCCCTTAGCACATATTTATTATTTGTCTCCCTCTAGCAGAATTTATATTCCTGACAGTAGGATCTGTGTCTTGTTTCCATCCCCAGAGTCTAAAACAGGGCTTGGAATTACAGAAGGTGCTCAACAATTATCTGCTGAAGTAATAGCTTTAAAGCACAAATAAATAAATATGACTACTTTTTCCCAAACATCAATTAAGTGCAATTATTAGGTAACTCAGATTTTCCTTTGGACTTATTAAAAGACTAAGTGGCTACATAATTAATACTCATATTGAAATTTCAATTTCATATTGACACTCATAAACTATATTTTGATACTCTCTTTCTATGCTAATTTCCTTGGTAATAAAATTTTGGAATTGAAAATACAAGGCTTATCTTTTTTTTAACTCCTCTCTAAGGTACTTTTAAAATTAGCCAAGTTTAACTAACTAAATGCAATAAATAAAATCAATTAACTCACCATAGCAATAAAGCGACCAATGAAACAGAAGTATGAAAGGTGGTCTGGTTTAATGGTTGATGCTGGATTTATCTGCAGACAATAGTTGTTCTTGCCCGCATACTCAAATAAGCAATACATTGGGTTCAAAACTTCATGTGAAAGCAAGAAAAACCATTCTCTATAAGAAAATAAGTCATGATTATTTTTTAGCATTTATATATATGTTAATTTAAAACATCTTAAATACAACCATATAGACATCATACCTCTGCTCAAGAGCCATTACCAACTTCACTGCCCAATTCTTCAGCCCTTGATTTAAGTCACTCTATGATCTGCTTCTCCATTCAAAGTTACCTGCTAGTTCCTGGTTGCCAAAATACAAATACTGTTCTTCACATGTAACATGCCTATTGCTATGCCATAATTTTGTTTGGGAATGTCTCCTCAACTTCAACTCAGTTTATGTAAGTCCCACTTTTTGCTAAAATCTCACTTGAACAAGTTTTTGAGGGGATTTTCACTGTATTATCTGTGTCCATCACTGAATCCTCTGTAGTAACAATCTCATATTACTCATTTTTATGCAGATGACATGTCCCATCAACCAGACTGTAAGCTGCTCAATGGCCAAAGCTATGTCTTCATGCATTTTTTGTAGCCTTAATCATTATAGGCATTCTAGCACCTATGCACAAAAGGTTTTAAGAGGTACTTGCTGGTGATAATGAGATACACAAGCACTGCTGCTATGGAACAGTTTTGTTTTTAATACATTAAAGATAGAACTAAAATTAAAAATGTAAAGCTTTAAATATGATAAGCAATCTCTAACATTTCACAACCAATTATTTTGCCTATTTAAAAAATAATTAACATATGCGGCCAGCAAGTGACACAGTGGTTAAGATCGCTGGACTCCCACATTGCCGATGGCGGTCTGAGTCCCAGACCTCGGGGCTTGCTTTCCCACTTTCCCTCTCTCTCTGACCGTCTTTAGTCAAATTAAAATAAATAAATAAAGTTAAATAAAATAATTCTTTAAAGAAATTAATATATGAACTCCAACTAAAAAAAGATCAATAATTTATATTAAAAATAAACTCTATTTGCAAAAGGCTCTTTTCAAAAGCAATTTCTTCCAAAGATGAGTTCTAAACTCAAATGCTTACAGTAATTAGTAAAAGGGACTTCCTTCTCTATTCTCTGCATGGCTCACATTCTTTGGCCACAATTCCCTATTCCTCATTACACCCTTAATATAATTATTGGCTTTAAGTAAGGTACATTACCATAGGCCCTAGATGTCCGGGCAGTTGTGGGCACTGTAGTGAAATGGTATGTGCTCCCCTAACATGGACGCTGCTACTCTGATTCAGTCAATTGATGCCACATGAAAAGGCGAGAATGTGTGTTCAATGATGTAAAGAACTCAGAAATCGTAATTCTCAAGCATAATCTAGTTATTTTTGGATGTTATAAAGTAATTTAAGAAGTTTAAAAATCCCTTCTATGTAAACTAGCAGCTGGTCTAGCAGCCTATTTAAAAACAAGCTCTTCTAAAGCTGTAAAACATAATCCCTAAACTAGCATAAAGGTCGAGAAGGGATTCCATTCCTAGCAGTTGTCACTCCTCAGAGAGTGATCTCTGAGGGGTGTCCGGCAAAGGACGTGCATGAAAAGGCACCGAGGCCTTTGTCTTCTGTTCACCTTTGCCGCCTCTGTGGAGTCGACCCACCCCCTCTGAGGCTAGGCCCCAGCAGGAAAACATACTTTGAGGTTCAGAAAATTCACTGTACAGAATGAACAGCGTATGTACAGTATCTGAGCAATTTTTCTTGGTGGGGATAATTAAATGCAAGAGCTCCTCCAAGACAAGAAGCCACATTCATTCTTGTTCAAATTCCTCCGTCTCTTCTATTGCAAAAAGAAGTTTTTCCTTTAGTTGTTCATAACTCTTATATGGTGGTAGATCCAAGCGATTAAAACATGTATGGCTTCTCGGCAACCAAGTGTCTTTGCCAACTTTTTCAATGCAAAACTTTTGAGGCCCATTACTTCCCATGAGCTCAGCAAATCCTCCTAGAGGTAAATGGCAGGTTCCAGTGACAAATTGTAATAGTCACATTCTTACTTTATTATCTGTCTCTTTCACAAATTCCAATTATTTTTCATCAAAGTACTGCAGCCACTGCAGGGGAACAACTTTATTAAAACCATCAAGAAAAACTTTTGTTTGTTCTTGTACTCCTCGAGAAAAATGCCATTCTGTCATTAAACCAATGTATTCATCTTTGTTCTCCTCGGTCACCAGGATATTGGAACCGCCTAACTTCAGGTCATGTGAAGTAACTTTTCCTAAAATCTCCATGTCAACAAAAAAGTACATTTCTAAGCCACATTATTCAATGTTGTTGTTTCTTATCCAGATAAGGGAGTTATAAAATTCAGTGTCTATAGATTCCAAATCCTTAATAGTAAGTTTTTTACTTAGCATATGCTTGTAGAATGGTAAAGAGAGACGAGTATCAATAAACTTCCCATGAAATAATGCCATAGCAATAAAGCGACCAATGAAACAGAAGTATGAAAGGTGGTCTGGGTTAATGGTTGATGCTGGATTTATCTGCAGACAATAGTTGTTCTTGCCCGCATACTCAAATAAGCAATACATTGGGTTCAAAACTTCATGTGAAAGCAAGAAAAACCATTCTCTATAAGAAAATAAGTCATGATTATTTTTTAGCATTTATATATATGTTAATTTAAAACATCTTAAATACAACCATATAGACATCATACCTCTGCTCAAGAGCCATTACCAACTTCACTGCCCAATTCTTCAGCCCTTGATTTAAGTCACTCTATGATCTGCTTCTCCATTCAAAGTTACCTGCTAGTTCCTGGTTGCCAAAATACAAATACTGTTCTTCACATGTAACATGCCTATTGCTATGCCATAATTTTGTTTGGGAATGTCTCCTCAACTTCAACTCAGTTTATGTAAGTCCCACTTTTTGCTAAAATCTCACTTGAACAAGTTTTTGAGGGGATTTTCACTGTATTATCTGTGTCCATCACTGAATCCTCTGTAGTAACAATCTCATATTACTCATTTTTATGCAGATGACATGTCCCATCAACCAGACTGTAAGCTGCTCAATGGCCAAAGCTATGTCTTCATGCATTTTTTGTAGCCTTAATCATTATAGGCATTCTAGCACCTATACACAAAAGGTTTTAAGAGGTACTTGCTGGTGATAATGAGATACACAAGCACTGCTGCTATGGAACAGTTTTGTTTTTAATACATTAAAGATAGAACTAAAATTAAAAATGTAAAGCTTTAAATATGATAAGCAACCTCTAACATTTCACAACCAATTATTTTGCCTATTTAAAAAATAATTAACATATGCGGCCAGCAAGTGACACAGTGGTTAAGATCGCTGGACTCCCACATTGCCGATGGCGGTCTGAGTCCCAGACCTCGGGGCTTGCTTTCCCACTTTCCCTCTCTCTCTGACCGTCTTTAGTCAAATTAAAATAAATAAATAAAGTTAAATAAAATAATTCTTTAAAGAAATTAATATATGAACTCCAACTAAAAAAAGATCAATAATTTATATTAAAAATAAACTCTATTTGCAAAAGGCTCTTTTCAAAAGCAATTTCTTCCAAAGATGAGTTCTAAACTCAAATGCTTACAGTAATTAGTAAAAGGGACTTCCTTCTCTATTCTCTGCATGGCTCACATTCTTTGGCCACAATTCCCTATTCCTCATTACACCCTTAATATAATTATTGGCTTTAAGTAAGGTACATTACCATAGGCCCTAGATGTCCGGGCAGTTGTGGGCACTGTAGTGAAATGGTATGTGCTCCCCTAACATGGACGCTGCTACTCTGATTCAGTCAATTGATGCCACATGAAAAGGCGAGAATGTGTGTTCAATGTAAAGAACTCAGAAATCTTAATTCTCAAGCATAATCTAGTGATTTTTGGATGTTATAAAGTAATTTAAGAAGTTTAAAAATCCCTTCTATGTAAACTAGCAGCTGGTCTAGCAGCCTATTTAAAAACAAGCTCTTCTAAAGCTGTAAAACATAATCCCTAAACTAGCATAAAGGTCGAGAAGGGATTCCCTAAAAAAAATCAACTAAGAAATTATTAACAACAACTCATAACACTAAATTCAGTCTCAGCATGGTGACTGAACCAAATGACTTCCCTCTGTGATGAAGTTGAAGTAAGACATGCCCCCAGAGAAGAGGACTGAGTAGATTTAGTGGGAATGTGTTGACACAGATGTACAAAAACTAGGTAAAAAATATGCAGTTGTTTCAGATCACTTTTAGCAAACAGTGGTTCTAAGAAAAATGAAGCCATTCAAAAGAAGAATAGCTATAATATGGTACCTAACCTCTAACGTGATACTAGCAGAAAAGGGATAATTCCTAACCATTGATAGCCTGAGGCAGTAGAATTAACTTTCAAAACATCCTCCTCTATTGTCTAATAAACTGAAAAGACACAAGAGGTTGAAAAAATTATGAGACAACGGATGAACTAGCAGAGCCTGGAGAAGAAAATGAAGAAAACAGTAAAGCCACTAATGAAGAAAAATCACAGTAGAAGCAGCAAAACGTAGGGCCGTACTGCAAACAGTGACACAAAGATAGGCTTGAGAAAAATTAAAACAGAATGGAAAAGCACAAAGATAAAAACGGTCAGAGAAAAGATGACAGACATGTAAAACTGACAAAGAAGTTTCCACATACCCATGATTGATGTTCCTGAAGAAAATGGAACAAATGGAACAGAAAAAATTTTCAAAGACATAATAGAAGAAAACGTCCCTAAAATTAAGAAAGATCTTAATACGGTCCTTAAAAAAAAAAGATATAAAACCAATACTGAAATTAATGAACTTCAAGAAAAAGGAATGTGTGGGCACCCAGAGAGAAAAAAAGTTCCCTTCAAGGGGCTGGCCTTGTACTTCACAGTACTAACATTCACTGCTAGGAAATAGTGGAGCAGTTATCTACAAAGTATTGAAGGAACAAGTGTTGTGAAGGAAATTTATATTCATGAAGTTGTTTACATACTAAAGTAACAGGAAACATTCTCAAACATGCAAAGACTATAGGAATATTATCACTCTTGTGAACTCTTCAATAAACCACTTGATGATCCATCAAAACTACCAATACCAGAATCAAATAAAGAATTTAGGAATAAGAAAATCATGGTATGTAGGAACTATGCATTAAACCTGTGAAAACATAAAACTAGGTCCAAACAGTTGAGGCTAAAAAGGGTTCAAAGAAGGACCAGCAGATGGTGTAATGGTTACATCACTGGACTCCCAAGTAGTCAAATGTGGTATGAGTCCCGGACGCGGTGGCTTAAACTCATGCTGGGCGTATATGCACGTGTGCCCAAGATCCCAAGAGGAATATGGAAGAGAAGGGATTGTGGCGTGGCCATCCCCCCTGGGGGGTTTTTCTTGCTTTCGGTTTCTGTCTCTCTCTGTTTTTCTGGTGAGTGCACGTGCACTATAGTGATAAAAAAAAAAAGTTCAGAGAGGAATGTGAACTTTTAAAAAGTAAGAGACTGGAAAAATAGCATATTTCCTCATTTTGAAGACATACTTTTCTTTTTAATGTCTGAATGTTTCTGAAATTAGGACAAATACACAGTAAATGTGATAAACACATTTATTATGGTAGGTAGTAGTTCTTTTTGAGAAAGGTACTGATGTTTTTGATGAGGAAATATGCCAAATTAAACAAATCTCTAATCTCACATGTATTATCATATATCTGGCTCCTACCAGTTGTGCTTGGTCCTGTGTATTTTTTTTAGTAGTTGTATTAAAATTGTAATATTGAAATTATGAACACCTGTGAAACGTGAGTCCAAAAACAAACCTGTTTCTTTGATAAACAAGTTGAATTCTTTTCAAAGATTTATAAAAGTGCTTCACCAAAAAATAAACTATTGACAACATTATTTTTGGATGAAACAAGGGAAAAAACTAAGTTAAAAATCAACATACAATATTATAGTAGCAAAAAAACAGGAAACAACCTTTTGTATGCTGACACATTAACTATGTATCTCTATACAACGGGCTATTATTGTGCAGTCATTGAAAAAAGGGTATCAGGGCTCTCGCTACAAATACTGATATAGAAAGATGTCCATGGGCCCACCCCACGGCACTAAGGGCTAAGCATTGTACATCAGGAGCAAGATTCCACATGGCCGACTATGGTTTGAATGTGAACCCAGCAGCTTAAACTCTCACAGGGAGGAAAAGTAGAAGAAAAAAGACGGCAGCATGGTCACCCCCGTGTTTTCTCTTTATCTCTCTGGCAAGTGCATGTGACCTCTGACAACAAAATTAAAGAAAGAAGGAAAGATGTCCACGGTATATAAAGTAACAAAATCAAATTGCTATATGTTGTACATTGTATGATTTTGTTTAAAAAAAAAATGCAAATATACACTTATACATATATACAGATTTACATACAGATATAAATGCCAAGAAGATGTATATAGAACAACCATGATAATAATGGCTACCTCTCAAATTGCATCAATTTTTAAATTTTTATATTTAAAAATAATTCTGGATTGCTACTAAAAACATATATTCCAATATATTCAAATATTCCTGTATCCCTGGCATACAATGAGGTACTTATTTCAAAGGAGATATGTTATTTTTATTTTACCTTGCTAGGCCACCATAATCAAGTCCTTCTTCTCCTCTAAATATCACATACAGTCGCCTCCTCAGGTCATAGGGCTTTAATGCCATAATCTGTTGAAAAGAATCTTCAAACAATGTCTGCCGGGACACATTGATCTTTACATGACTGGATAGTGCATTAGACTGGCACGAATAACAGAAGTGAGCAAGTTTCCACCTGAAGCTGTGCTCATAAGCAATCTGTGGACTGCCTTTAGTTACAGATGACTTTCCATTGCAAGGATCTTAGAATGTTGTTGTTCTTGTGTTATGATCAACAAAGTACCTAACACCTTGAATATACCTTATTTCCCAGCCCTCTGGCAGGGGTTCTTCATTCTGTAAGCCTTAAGTTCTTGGATTCTTCCACTGGGTTGTTTTTGTGTTATGACTGACAAAGTAAACTCTGTCTTTTAAATCCACTCTTTTTTCCCAGCCTGGTGGCAAAAGTCCACATGGGTCATTTTCTGCTGCTAACATTGAAGCCGAATAGAGGTATCGCTGGTTGAATTGTTGCATAGCTCCCTGTAATTGGTTCTGCTGAGACTGCCACTGTTCAAAATTACACACAGATTCCATGGTAGGCCGCTGCCATGTGGTTGTTAGGGTGTTATAATCAACATAATATACTCTTCCACAATCATCAACTCTTCTTTCCCAGCCTGGAGGTAAAGGCTGTGGTCTCTCCCATGTAGTAGTTCGAGTGTTATGATCCACATAATAGGTTCTACCATGAGGATCTTTTCTCTGTTCCCACCCTGATCGCAAACTTTCTGTGTTTGCATTTGCAGACTG